ACAAGTTCTTCTTTTAGCTAGCCACTAGGAGAACACTATTTGGAAACAATACAAAGGCTTTTAAAAAATCTTTCCCACCTTACTGCTACCAGGTGTTACATATGGGAAAGGCAGTAAGGGATGTAGGGAGGGGTAAAGAAACATTTGTGTTTTTATTACAACAATAAGGAGAGTACTTTTTCAAAAGAGAAGCATTTGATGGTCTTAAATTGTGTGGAGAAAGAGAAAAGTGTGCTTCAGTTCAAAATAGGCTTTTTTTTTAAATGCCAAAGATAGAGAACTCAGTATTTGGTACCACTAGGGTTTTGCAGTGGTCTTCAGAGATAGAGGGTGACTTAGTGTAGTATCTGTTAGATTTGGACTATGATGAATGAAACGGCTTAGATTAAGTTTTCTAGTCAACATATAATGATCACTTGGCATTAGATACAAATAGTTCTTAATCATCGAATTTATTTTAAAGTGTTTATAGCGGATATTTGTTATCTGGGATGGCTCTCTTTGAGGGGTACAGGGAATAACTGTGATGATGTAAAAAACAAGACATCAATAAAAAGTTGTTTTTAAAAAAGAAAGTGTATATAGCAGAAATAGTGCTGGGTTTAGATGGAAGACCTGGGTTCAAATCTACCTTCTGACACTTAATAACTGAGTGATTCTGGACAAGTCACATCATCTTTGTATGCACCAGGCTAATTACTCCCTAGTATTTATTAAGTCCTAGACCAAGTTGGTAGAGGGAGTTTTCACACAACAGACTGGCTGCATTTTGGGAGGGGCAGCCAATGGTTACATTAACTTGGAAAGAGCAAGATGATTTTGCAGTGTTGATATTTATAGTTGGGGTTTGTGGGGGGTGGGTTGTCTCTTTCAGTCTTCTTATGATTGCGTCTCTGATATAATGGAAGTAATCCAAGTAAATCGTTAAGATCAGAGTGATAAATAGGAAGAGCCTGTTACTTATTCTTGGTTGATCTGAATGGTGTTTTCTCACTTGCTACCCTTTGGGAAAGGCAGAAACTTTATGCTAGATATAATTTTAGGAAGGTTGAGGTAAAATGCAGCTGAGATCATTGATCCTGATACCATTAGCTCTCCTTTTGGGGCATTTGTGTTTAGTAGAAGGGTCAGTGTACTGTCTAGGTGGGCAGATTTTTTTTTTTTTATTTGAAGGAAGGGGTGCTGGTTCGTGTGTGTGTATGTGTATGTATGTATGTGTGTGTGTGTGTGTGTGTATATGTATATATATATATAAAATTATTTTCTCAGTTGAGTGGAATGATGATTGAAAAAGTTTGATTTCAGTCTAACCATTTAAAAATTATACAGGTCAGAAAGGCTTGATTTACTAATATTATGTGAAAAGTTCAGTCTGTGCCCCAACCATCTTAAAATTGTACTAAGTAATTGGGATTCATAATAATGAGACCATCGCTGGTTTATCAGTTTGTGGTTTGTAAAGGCATTTCAAAATCATCATCTCAATTAATCCTCACAACAACCCTAAAGGGTTTATGACACCCTCCCTCACCTTTTCCAAGATGTTTTTCTTAATAAGATGTTCTTATTTTAAATCGGTAGGGGAATAAAGGGATCCATTGTCCCTCTCCAATTCTCTACCCAGTGTCCCTTGCCCTATTGTTCAGTCTTTCTTCTCTGTCTCCTGTTATTAATATTTGATTCTCTAAATTATCCTGCAACAGCCTGTTGATACTGCTGTACAACTCTTCTTTAACTACCTTGGCTTCTTCACCCCTCCCTACATCCCTTACTCTCCTTCAGATATGTAACACTGGGTAGCAGTAAGGTGGGAAAAAAAATTTTTTAAAGCCTTTGTATTGTTTCCAAATAGTCTTCTCCTGCCCCTGGGTTTCAAGTGTGACCTTGAAGTCTAAGTATTTCTGAAGCCACACCCTCTTATCAGTTATATTCACTGTTTTAGCAGAGAACTGAAAAGAGGTCAGTTTCCTATAAACGCCATACAGTTTAAGTTTTCTGCCTATTGGACAGGCTGGAACTTCCTTCCTCAGCTAGAGGAGCATTTGATAAATCTAGAAAACATGTTGCCATGGTGTCTAATATTTTTGGCACAGTCTTACCTGAAATTGAAACCATTTGTTTCATTATTCTTGTTCGTGTGTATTTTTGATTGCTCCTTTTCATTTGTTGTGTTAACATTTATATGGCATTTGAAGTTAGCAATATGCTTAACATAGTCCCTGGTACATAGAAGGCACTTAATAAATAAATACTTATTAAAATTTAATTTTTAAAAATGTGTCTCATTTGAGCTTCACAACAACCCTGTGGAGTAGGGGCTATTATTATCCTTATTTTGTAGAGGAAGAAACTGAGTCTGAGAGATGTTATATACATGTTACATGTTATTTAGAGTCACATAGCTAATAAGTATCTGAGGCAAGATTTGAACTCAGGTCTTCCTGACTCCCAGCCCAGAGCTCTATCCACTGTGCCACCTAGCTACCTGATAGCAGGTGTAAAATAAATTCATCACTTCTGCTCAACTTCTTATAGGCATAAGGAGAGGAGTCCTGACCACCCAGGCTTTTGCTTACTTTATGTTTGTACCAAGAAATCCCTTGGCCAGATGCACTTAGCTCTATATCTTTTTGAGCCTTTTCCGAATATCTGTGAAGACCTTTATAAAGCCCCTTTAATAAATTTGAGAGCTTGAAAACCAGTGCAGTAAATCATGTCAGTCTTTTCCTCTAAATGCATGTTGATTAGTTGAAAGCTGACAAAGTTTTTTTGACTTTTGGAGCCAAAATTTGTGGAGCCTTGCATAGGCAAAGAAATAGGCACAGGCCAGAAATCCATTAGGAGGGACACAAATTAAAAGAGTGAGGGAGTATGTGAAGTTGTCACATTGAAAATATGAGGCCATATTGAATGAACCTACTCTTGGATCCAATGGAAGGGAACGAGCAAGAACAGAATGTGGAGTTCAAGGCCATCTTCTTAATGTCTGCATCAGGCACAGACACAGAACAGGGATCCACACTGTGTAGTCTCCTTCTGGCCCCTGTACACTTCATTCCTTTCACCTAAAAGCCTGTGCCTTTTTCCATGGTGGGACAAGGCCATGTCACAGGTGCAGAGGCCTGCCAAGATGAGACACCAATTCAGTCAGCAGAGCGTTTAAGAAGCCACTGTGTGCAAAGCACTGTGCTGAGCCACTGGGGAATCACACCATTTGGATAAGAATAGGCCCTTGCCCTCCCAGAACCTATAATTTGAAGGTGGAGAGGAGGAAAAGGACCAAACTTAGATAAATGGAAGACACAGTATTATATTAGAAAGGTAGAGAACAGTGTGCTATGTGAGATCTGAGCTTCTGGCAAAGGATCAGGAAAAACTTAGAGGGAGAGGTGATGTTTGAATTGAGCTTTAAAGGATGAGTTTAAAAGGATTTTAGCAAGGGGAAAAAAGGAAGAAAGATGTTCCAGGCATAAAGCAAAGACAAGAGGAAAACATAGGGCTAAGATGGGGCAGGAGGTAGATGTCAGGACTGAAAATACTTCATTTTGAACTGGAGCCTGGAATGTGTGTAGGCAGGGAGTAACAAGAGTTTTCTATCACCACTTTGTAGCTGAGGAGGTTAAAATGATTAGAAATGGGCAGGGAGATGTAACGTTTACGAATAAGACTGACAGCAATTACTTGAGTTGCTAAGATTAAATGACAGGAGCTATTCATCTTCCTGTTTCAGTGTACAAACTAATCTGTTTAGGGAAGAAACTTCACTGAATGGTTTATTATTGTATACTATGTTGGATCAAAAGGTAACAGCTGGATAGACCTACTGGAGGGGAATCTTTTGTAGGCTTGTACCTAAAGAAAGTTTAAAGAAGCTGAGGTTATTTAACCTGAAGAGCAGGAGTCTGAGGTAGGACCTGACTAGTTTTACTGAGATGGGGGGAGGTACCCATTGCAACTGGGAGAATTTAAATTCAACTTGAAAGAGAAATATCTGACAACAATGGGTATGGAAAACTGGAGCAGGTACGTAGAATCTCTTTGTGCAGTGCAGGCCTTGGAGAGAAAAGTAGAAAAGAGGGTGAGATGTGGAGTGAGTGGGGTTGTAATCCTGACACTACCATTTCTTATCTCTTTGACCTTGGAGAAGTTTCTTAGCCTCTCTGAGACTCAGTTTTTGTATCTATAAAATGAGGACATTGTACCCAGTGTCCCTCAAGTGCTCATGAAGCTCTAAGTCTCCAGACCTGTGAATAGCACAAGCCTGATCTTTAAAACACTTTGCATATGCTCTTTGGAGTTTACATTCACACTTCTCTGCAACAGTTGTATGGTCTGTGAGCTCCAGATCGAAGCTTCTTCTGGGCCTTGTCCATCCTTTGTGACTTACCCATGGCCTCCCCTAAGGTCACCACAGGAAATCCATCCAGCATGTGCAGGGGGACTTCCTCTGTTTTCTTTTCATTTGACACTACCAACAGAGCGATTATCCTGTCATTAGATGAACCAATCTCACTACAGCAAAAATGTATTAGCTTGGACCCCATTAATTTGATATTTGAGAGAATTCAAGGTTCATGATTTTTGGAATGGGACTAGACCTATGATTTTATTGATACAGGGAACTCCCAGTGAGACAACTCCTCCTTCCAATGCACTTGGCACCTTCTCTGCAATTTATATCCTTAAAAGGTGCTTGGAGAATGAAAGATTAGGTGACTTACCCTGAGTTATACAGTTAATCTATGTCAGAAGTAGGACTTGACCTCAGGTTTTCCTGACTCCAGGGTCAGTTCTGTCCACTCTGCCATGATGCCTCTCATGTGATTCTTACTGAATAAAAAGTTCAAAGTTGGGGCAGCTAGGTGGCGCAGTAGATAGAGTACAGGCCCTGAAGTCAGGAGGACCTGAGTTCAGATCTGCCCTCAGACCAAACACTTGACACTTACTAGCTATGTGACCCTGGGCAAAAAATGTGACCCATTTGCCAAAAAAAGAAAAGAAAAAAAAGTTCAAAATCAGTGATAAAACATGAGGTCTTTATAAAATGTGAACCTATTTTGAATGGTAATTTTCAGTGCTTTATTTGCCAATACCCACTATTTTGTTTATAATATATAATGTCGTAACGGTAATAAGACTGTTTTTGGTTAACTTTAAACTAATTTTAGAGAGACTCTTTTCTTTACCCTTCTAGCCCCCTCTGAACCTTCCCCAGACCTCCCAGGCTAAATTATTGAGATTTGTTTGTGTTTTAGTAGTTCTACAGGGTTTACAAATCCTAGGAGACTCTCTGTTTTAGATGTGGTTCACATATCTCTTTGTTTTTGTCTTTTATTTTTATCGAATGTAAACCTGTAGCTTTCATGTGAAGAAAATCCTGAGTGCTATGGAGTTGTGTTTTTTTTGTAATGGGTTTCCCAGGGGAAAAAAATGCAATCTTCGATAGCATTCATTTATGCATTCTTTGAAAGCATTGGAGTTTGTTGGGGGTTTTTTGTGTTGTTGTTTTTTTTTTTTCAGTGAAACCGGATACCTCTGGCCTGGATTTGCTTTAACTCCACCTCTAGGTGGATCTGAGCTTTTCTATGGGGGAAGTGCTTCTGAGTAAATGAAAGTAAAACTTAGCTGCAGCCATTTTAGTCTGCAAGCTGTGTAATCTCCATAGGACCAAAGGAAGATGTTTTATTTTCATGCTATCAAAGTTATTCCTCTTTACTTTTAAACAGGGATATTAGACTGCAAGAGCTATTATACGAGCCAAAGAACTAGCCTTTGGAGGCTTACTGTCACCCTTAGCTCCTTTCTCCTTCTCTAGAGAGAAGTTTTCCTGTAGTTAATGGATTAGTTTACACCACGCGAGTTTCTTTTCTTGTGCTCAGATAAGTGAGATGAATTATGCTCATCGGTATGGACGAACTTCAGGTAAGGGCAGCTTCTGATTATTAACTAACTTCTGCAGGAGTCCTGTGGCTGTCTTGGACCTAATATGAGGCTTGAATATTGAGGATTTAGAATATGGCATCTCCAGCCAATACATTGGGATCTACTGAAGGATCCCTATGGTGGTGGTGTTACTGCCACCACCATGTTCATACCCCTGCCACTTCCAGAAGCCAAGGGAGTCATACTGGTAATTATGCCCACCTCACCATTTGAGGATCAATCTTAACTGTCTGGACCCCATCCCCATACCATCACAAGGTTTCTTCACAGATAGGTTGGAGATTTAAAGGAAGAATTAATTCTCTTTTACACCAGTGAGTCCTAGCTCTGCAACAAGCAATTTTAGGCTCATAGAATTTTAGAATCAGAACTTTAGAGCTAGAATGAACCTCAGGTCACATATTCCAACTCCCACATTTTACAACTGAAACAGACCCAGAGTGAAATTTAGAATTTAGAGTATTTTTTAAAGAGTTGGATGAAGTTTTTTTTGTTTTGGTTTGTTTTTTTTTTTTTAAGAGATCTTTTAACAAGTTCTTTTTGGTCCTTTTAAAATGACTGATGCATCATTTTACAGCTGAAGAAAGTGAGGCCTTGAGATGATGTAAAGTGATTTGCCCGAGGTCACACAGACACACTACATGATTTCTAAGAATTTTTTAAAAACACAATTTTTAACAAGCCAGGGTTTAAAGTAAATTCTTAAAGCCCCACATAAGATGGACAATATGAATATGAAGATGTTGAGGGGTTCAGGAATAAGTATTAACTGATTTCCATCTTTCCTGCCTCCGCCCCCTTCCTGAGTCTATCCAGGTGGTTTTTCTCCTTTGAAAATAGTAATTTCAGTTTTGGGGGTTTTTTGCAAACTGAAAAGTGCTTAATTAAAGAACTAAACTTTTCTATCTTGAAATATGTCTCACTTCCAAAATTCACCGAGGTGTAGTAAAGAGTTTACATCTGGAGAACTGTTACTCAGTACTCTGGGAATTTAAAGTGAGGCAGAGAACTCTCTGATGTGGTATAAATGTCTGTTTTCTAACCAGAGAGACCTGTATTCAGACCTCTATTACCAGAAACAGATAGTAGTAATACATGCTACCAAAACAGCAAGAAATTATGTGACTGCTTCAATAATAGGTTATAATGGGTGTGGAAAGAAGGACAGATTTCTATTGGCACCTGAGGCTGATGATTACCTCTCATTTATAGTTTTAGAATGCAGTCCCCACCAGTCCATGAGGATATTTTGGTGGTTTGGGTGAAATTGATGTGTCATGGCTCATCTTACCAGAAAGACGCTTATGACAGTGAGGCCTAAGTCATTCCAGAAATACGATGTTTAGGGGTGGGATTCATATCTGAATTCCCATTTTTACATTCTTCTCTGCCTCTCTCTTCCCCTCCCTCTCTGTTTTCCCTTTGGCAGGCCTCTGTAGCAACTGTGAGGTGGGCAAATTGATCCCAGCTGTCTGTCTCCTGGGATGTGAAAGCCCAGAGTCTTACTTGCATTCCAACAACACACTATGAACAGGGGTGCTGCTTCAAGCAGAGGTTGGTGTCAGGCACACACACACTCTCACTGCTGCCATCCTAACCTGCCTTTTTTTCGCCATCCTCTTGTCCTGCAGGGGTGTTCCCTCGACAGATACCGTAACCAGCAGATACAAGACTATGATCGCAGCAAACCCAGACAGCAGCTGGGGCAGGGGTTCTTTCCCGATAGATTCCGAAATCAGCAGATAGAATTCCTGAGGGGACAACTCCTAGAAGTGCCCCTGATCAGAGAGCAGGCATCAACATCTTTCCTGACCAGGGAGAGGCCAAGTTTTACAGGACCACCTGCTGACGTGAGGCAACCTGGGAACTGGAATATTGTAAGGCCACCTCCTAGCAGTTCCTCTCCCTGGAAAGGCTCACCTTCCCCAAGAGGCAGAGCCACATCAAGGCAAGGTGTGGCTAAGCTTACCTTTAATTTCCAACAGCTGTCTATCAGTCAAAATCAGGAGCAAAGGATTCTAAAACTTTTAGGGGAACTTGGGGAAGGGCAGTCTGCTACAGTATATGATCTTGCCAAGAAACTTGGGGTCCAAAAGAAGGAAGTAAATCGAGTTTTGTACCATCTGCTGAAGCAGGGGAAGTTACACAGGGAAGAAGGCACACCCCCTAACTGGAGTATCCCGACCCCATCCCATGCTTGGAAACAGACTAACCAGGTTGTGAGACAAGCTGTCCGAAGAGGTCCAAACAAAAGCCCTATTTCAGACTTGAAAGACGAAAGTTTCATCCCTGAATCCGATCCACTTAGTTTTGTCAACATGGCTGATATCAAGGAGAAAATCTGTGCCTACTTATTTGATGTTCCAGATTCCTCTGCCCTGAACTTAGCCAAAAACATTGGCCTTACTAAGGCCCGAGATGTAAATACCTTACTCTTTGACTTGGAAAGGCAGGGAGATGTTCGAAGAGAAGGATTCACTCCTCCGAGGTGGTCACTGACAGATAAAAAGCGAGAGAGGATGCAACTTAAGAAAAATGAAAATATCCCAGTAGACAGCCCTATATCCCAGACAGATATTGAGGTTGACCCAGGTAACTCAGATGTCCCCAACACACTCACTGCTAGGGAAGAAGAGGAGAGTGTTGAGAATGGACATCAGCCACCATCAGGGCCAACAGAGGATGGCAATGTGGGCGTCCCAGGATTGCTTGAGGAACCCCCAGTTCAAGACAATGACCCCTCAGACATGAAGGTTGAAAATGGTCAGTGGGCCACAGATGACATCCCAGATGATTTAAATAGCATTAAGCAGGGAGATGACCTGCACACCATAATGGATCTACCCAACTACATGGCCCGTGTTGGTGCCTCATCACAGTTCACAGCTATCAAGAAACTGACAGCTTGCCGGCAGAAGAACCCAATCAGTGGACTGTTAGAATATGCTCAGTTCACCTGCCAGACCTGTGAGTTCACGCTCTTGGAACAGAGTGGCCCATCACACGAACCCAGGTAAGAGACAATACAGGAAAAAATAATGAGTAATATTTACATAGCACTCTAAAGTTTTCAAAGCACTTTACTAGTATCTCATTTTATCTTTACAACAACCCTAGAAGATAGATGTTATTGTTATTATTCCCATTTAACCAGGACAAAACTGAAGCAGACAGAGGTTAAGTAATATGCTCATGGTCACACAGGTGGTAATTGCCTGAGGGTGGATTTGAACTTGGGTCCTCCTGACTCTAGGTCCAGTGCTTGATCCACTGGGCCGCTTAGTTGCATAACCTCAGTAGAAAGTTGGACTCATACCTGTGATTACGGTTCAGATGAACCAGATTCTGGTTCAGATATTTTGGTCTTTTAATTTTTCATGCCCTTTCCTACTCTCTTTTTGCTATTTCATTGTCAGTTAGTCCAGTATGCTAGAGATTGAGGAGAAATAAATCTCAAATCAGATTCTCTGATTAAAAAAGAAGTTGAATTTATAGACTAAAATAAAGCTTGTTTGGAAGTTATTAGGTTTCATTTATTTACCTGGCTTCTAGGGCCACACAAGATGGCAAGCTGACTGTATTTATTCCCCAAACCAAACTTGTGTGTATGTGCTTTGTTTTAATAAAAACTATTATCATTTAAGGGATGAGGGGGGCTATGGACAGAGTTAAAATGAATTGTGCTGCTAAATGTCAGCAAGTCCAAAATCCACCCCTCTGTTAGGTACATGTCCAGAAAAGTCAAGTGTCCATATTAAGAAGAGTGTGCCCCAGTTGTCCCCATGTCAGAAGTGGGCACTTCTGTTTTATACCTACCTCCTTTACACAAATGAGTAGCTTACTCCTTCCTGCTACATTTAATTTACTGAAAACAGATTTGCCCCTTACATGTGAAACTGGAAAAAAAAAACCATCTCAGAGGCCAAACTGTGGCAGAATCTTTGGGATAGTTCCTACCCTGAAAAGATTCTTAAGGTAAATGAATGAAATGGGGAAAAGACAAAAACAAAAAACACGTGAACCTAGAGAAGAACGGGAGGGGTTGTGGCAGAAGGAGGCTGGGGAGCTGCTGAGAATCAGCAAAGCAGAGCCACATTAAGGAGTTGACCCTTTTTTTTGATTCCCTAAAGCTGCTCTCCAGGCCCTAATGTTCTCAGACAGGGTTTTTGTTTTTGTTTTTGTTTTTTTATCCCTGTATTGGTTATTTCAGTGAAGCTAAAGGTTGACAGGAGTGCTGTTTGTCCTCAAGAGAAATTTTCTCATTCTAGACAGTGTGAGAGGTGTCTAGCCAAAATACCTCCCCTTCCTCTTTTAGGGGAAAGTTTGTTTCTCTTGGTGTGAGGAAAAAGAGGTATCCTTTCCTGCCTCTCCTTGCTACCTCATCCCTAAAGCCACTAATAATTAAGGTAACTCTAGGGTGTACAATTTTCCTCTCCTTGGGTTCCATTTATAAGCCACATTAATGCTGTGTTCACATATGTCAAGAGACACAGGAGACTGGAAAGTTAACCTTTTTTAAATAAATTCTCCATTTGAGCAGAAAGTTGAACAGATATCTCTACCACCCAAGTCAGTTAGGGCCCTCTGCAGGCTGATTGGGTCACCTTGGAAAGAGAAGCAATCTAAATGCATTGAACATGTGCTTTAATGATCTCATGGGGGGACCCAGAGGAAGCCACTATTGATTTCAAGCTTAATACTGGGACAGGTGGAGACTTATAATGCCTGAAAGACCGAAAAGAGATCATTCAGACCTCCAGATCCTGTGGCATTTGTGTGTAGGGATCATGATCTTGGACCAAAGAAGATATTAACTTCACTTTGGGAACTGAAAATGACCATGGGAAGTGTGGAGAGACAGGAATAATGTTGTGGCTTGGTAGAAAAAGCTCTTGAGTGGAGGACTTGGGTTCAAATCCTATCTCTGTTACTGTCCATGTGACCTTGTAACTGGGCCTTAACCTGTAAAAAGAAAGGGTTGGAATAGCTGGCCTTCCAGCCTTAGAGCTAGGAACCTGTGATGATAGATCCCCCAGCACTTTTTTATAGTGTTAGTTACCTGACTTAGCCATCTGCTGTATATACCCATCAAGCCTGTCTTCAGTCTTTGCAGAGGTGTGGGGTTATCACCAGTGCAGTCGACTCAAGCATAGGCACCTCTGATCACAGGTCCATGAAATCGTAGGATTTTAGAATTGAGAGAGACTTTTTAGAGATCTGTCCAGACTAGCTCCCTAGAGAGGTTAACTGACTTGTCCAAGGGGTCTCAGATAACTAGTGGCAGATATGGAATTCAAACCCGGGTTTTCCTATATCACATCCAGTGTTCGTTCCAGTTGCTGTGCTTAGCTACTGAAAGAATACCAGTTTCCTGACATCTAGCTCAAGAGACAGCAATCAAAGGATTCCCATGACCCCTTACATCTTCACCCATAAATCAGAAGCCCCATTTGCTTAGGAAATCCCCAGGTGATGAACTCTGTGTAGAGGAATGGCCCCAGAAATACTCCTGAGACAGGAGGGATGGAAGGAGGGAGGGGAGTCGACTCAGGTGAGCATTCATATGTTTAATTACTTTCCACAAAGATTTAAATACCAGGCTGTGATCAGTGGCCGACGGTTCCCTCCAGCAGAAGCTGGCAGCAAGAAGATGGCCAAGCAAGATGCCGCTGCGAAAGCCATGACAGTCCTATTTCAAGAGTCTGGAGCCCAGGGGGAAGTAACCTCCGCAGCGGCAGCGCCACCAGCAGTGGCAGCGCCAACACCACCTCCACCGCCACCTCAACCTATGGAAGAAGAACCAGAGAAGGTAAGGGCTCTGCCTTTTATTTTTGTCGCTATCCAGGATGGATACTTTGCGTTGTCCTTTTTAGGCAATACCTCCTAATCTTCCATTTTTTTTTACCTGTAGTTTAAGCATCCTAACATTCTACCATGCTCTTTCTCATCTGGCTGTCTTATATTGATTGCTGTAGTCATGAAGTTCTTGTTCCTTTTTCTTACTTTGTATAGCCTTCAGCTCCAGAGCCTGAGCCCAGTCCCATCAGCCCCTCGAGTATTCTTTTTGGGAAGAACCCCATTAGTGTATTGATGGAGCATGTGCAAAAATCCGGGAGCACCTGTGAATTCCTTCTTCTATCCCAGGAAGGCCCAGCTCATGACCCCAAGTATGTCACATTGTTCTTGGAGATTGTAGTTGGGACTTCCAGCATGCATTTCCCTAGCTCCATGCAGAGAATAGCCACATCCTTTCCTAGGTTTCCTACAGTGGTAACAGAGCTTTCCTTGTGTCTTTCCAGTGAAGGATTGCTTCATTCATTAAGGTGGTCTTTTTCAGAATGGGGCAGAATGAGGGGTCTCAGTGACAAGGTTGTTGCCAAAGGGGGAGAAAATAAGAGGTTGAGGAACTTGGTGATAAAGACAAGCTTAAGGACTAGAACACTACAGGACTTAGAACTCATTGATGCTAGAGAAAGAGGAAGGAAAATGAACCCCTGCCTACTAGAAAGAAATGCTTACCTCTAGGGCCAGAATAAAGCTCAAGACCTGCAAATGGAACTTAGATGGTATTTAAGTTAAGAAACTAGTTGTCCAAAGGCTGACAGACTCAAGAGGTCTAAGCTTTATTTCTTCCCTCAAAAAAATTTTTATTCCGCTACTAAACTACATCCCATGCCAGGTTTAAATACTGCGTAAGGATGGGGAGTCAGACGTTTCCAACCATGATAGCCAATAGCAAGAAGGCAGCAAAGCAGATGGCAGCTGAGGTGGCTGTGAAGGCTCTCTGTGGAAATCCTAGCCTGAACCCTTGGACCAAGCAGGTATATACTTAAAACTGTTCGGTCCTTCAGAGGCCTTCTATTTCCCTGCTGAGACGTACCAGCAATGATGAGTCTCCTTTGGTTAATTTTCTTTCAGCCGTGCATTGACTACTTTAGTGATCCTGCATCCTTTGGCGGCTTAGGAGAGCCAGCACCCGGCAGGGCAAAGAAGATTGGGGATCTTATCAAATACCTGAATGCCAACCCTATCAGTGGCTTGTTTGAATATGCCAGGTCCAATGGCTTTGCTGCAGAATTCAAGTTGGTAGACCAGTCTGGACCTCCCCATGAGCCCAAGTGAGTATTCTGGGGTTCTAGCCATAGTCCTCACCTCACTCCACCTAGGAGTGTCTGCAGACACTAGATGTCTAGAAAAGAAAGGCTTTCTTTGAGAAGAAAAGAACGTGAGCTTCCTGGGAGAGAAGGAGCACTTTCCTCCAATGGATTATTTAGACTTGGTATTGCAGCCTCTGAGGGATTGTTTGAACAACCTTGAAAATAGCCACATGCCGGGTGATTGCCGCCTTTCAGATTAGCCTTCAGACTGAAGGAGCCTTAAGAGATCACGCCTTAAGGCAGGGACACATTTTAACATTTCTAAGATAGTGAGAATTTGTCCATTCCCATTGCACTGCCACAGAAAATACAGCCAACTTCTCAGCAGAAGTGTTGTGAAACTCAAGGAAATAATGTATGTAAAGCCAGTCACTGTTATTACTAATCCAGTTTAACCCCTGTTGCTTAACTTCAATTCCTCATGCAAAACATTTATCCCATTTCTTTTGGTATTTAGTGGAATTGAAGAACAGTTCCAGGTAGCATCTGATACTTAACAGTTGGCCCTTCAGGCTTCACATCTGTAGTTATCGTGCCGAATTTGCTCATTTTCACAACTTGGACTGTTAAAATTATGGTGCTATCAACTCTGTTTTGGTCTGTAGATTCTCAAGAGGAATAATCTCTAAATTAGGGCCTACTAGTGAGTTGCCAGGACTGTTGCTGCCACCACCACCCAGCCCCACATTCATCTCAGTCATCTTTGGGAATTCTCAGCAGATAGTGACCCAGCTTTTCTGCTTTACTAGGAGATTTCACTATCAGTGGCAATAACTTATCTCTGGGGGGGTGTGCACACACGCAAACCCGTAGATATGCATGCCATAACACATTTTATTTTCAAACTTTTATTAACATTTCATCTTTGTTGACATCTGGCCCTTTAAATCCAGACATATTTAATTATATGGTTTCCTTGTCTCCTTGGGAAGGACAAATGAATGAATAGCACTAAATGCTTACTCTTTGCCAAGCACTGTGCTGAGGATATAAATACAAAAGAAAATTTAGTCCCTTGTTCTTAGGGAGATTACATCCTAATAGGAGGAACCTCACAAATAGAGAGAAGGTAGTAAGGGAAGAGGCACTTTGATCCAAAAAGTTACAGAGATGGTGAATTGAGACCATTGGGGGTGGATTGATAACATCACATCCAGGAACAAGGATAGAATTGATTTGATTGTGGTTCCAGAGCGATGTATAGTGAGGGGAAAAAAGGGTAAGGATAGCAAGACTGTTGGTGAAGCTGTCCAGTTAGATGACCAAGGAGTTGGGACTAAGGTTAAACTTGGTTGGGATTATCTTGAAATAATAAGCTAAGAAAGGCTGACACTTATCCAGTCAATAGGACCTCAGGGTTGAAGTTCCACTGATGATGAAAGGATCACGGTCTTTACTATGGGTAATTTCTGTGCTATTCCTTCTAATAGGGTGAAATACTTGAAAATGAACTGTTTTTATAGATTTGCAAATACGTTTGATAAGCACTCAATCCCTCTAGTGAATAGAGTGTTGAACTCAAATCAGAAAGACCTGGGTTCAAGACCTGTTTCTAACATGTACTTATTTTGTGACTATGGGCAAATCCCTTTCCCTTTCTGTGTCTTAGGAAAATACCTAAGTTGCCTATTTGCAACTGGGGGAAGAGAGTTTCCAATACTAATGAAATCATAGGTCTGAATTTTAAAAAGGTTGGCCTGGAATCTTAAAAGCCACAGTTGTAAGGGCTTTCTCTCCAGGTCTAACGATGCCTTTCAGCTTTTTTTTCTAATCCAACAGGTTCATTTACCAAGCAAAAGTTGGGGGTCGCTGGTTCCCCGCTGTCAGCGCACACAGCAAGAAGCAGGGCAAGCAGGAGGCAGCCGATGCAGCCCTGCGCGTCCTGATTGGGGAGACAGAGAGGGCAAAGCGCACAGGGGGCATGGGCATTTCAGAGGTAACCACAGTGACAGGACCTTGTCGTTTCCTGTGCTTGTTTGACCTTCGTAGGGAACCTAACCTGCTCTGTCCCATACTCCCTAGGGCCATCCTGGTGGCAGCTGTTCTTGCTGCCTCTTCTCCTGGTCGCCTTTGAGGCCTTAGGTCACTTGATGATCCACAGACAGATTGTGCACCTCCAGATTAAGCACAACACATTTTAAATGACGACCTATGGGATTTAAAGACTACCTTAAATGAAGCAATTTAGAAGTTAAATATTTTGGGAGTGAAGGAGGGAGAAAAGAGAACGATATATCATATAGGTATTCTTGGAACTTTTTTTTTTTAAATCATGTGCTATAGTTAAGAGAATTAAAAATTTGTTTCCAAAGTATTTCTCTTTTTTCTTGGCTTTAAGGTAGAAACATTAGAATAGGACAGAAACTCCCTAGTGGGGAGCTGTGATCCTAACCCAGCCTCATGTTTTGCAGCTTCCTCTAACTGGTAGCACCCTCCACGATCAAGTGGCCATGCTGAGCCACCAGTGCTTCAGCTCCCTCACTTCACCCATCCAACATAGCCTGCTTGGCCGAAAGATCCTGGCCGCCATCATTATGAAGAAAAGCGATGACGACCTGGGCCTCGTGGTTAGCTTTGGAACAGGTATGCACAGCCCAGCCCCACTCACCTACACACCCCCTTTCCGACCCTTCCCTAAGGATTGCCCTTTACCAGTGTCCCACCACCTGCCATCTTGGCGTTTCACATCTCATTCAGTTCAAGATTTCTTTCCTCTTCTTTGTTGTTGAATAGTCTTTCCTTTCAAGGAGAAAACCTATCTATGTGTAGTAGCAGGAGTACTCCCAAGTTGGGGAGAAGAAATCTTGCTTTTTTTTACTTTAGGAATAATTTAGTATCACACATAATAGAATTTAGAGCAGGAGTAGACAATCTGTGGCCTTCTAGGTCCTTCGGTACAGCCTTTTGACTGGGTCCAAGTTTTGCAGAACAAATCCTTTTATTAAGGGGATTCAGTCAAAGAGCCACACTTGAGGCCTAGAAGGCCACATATGACCTTAAAGCCACAGGCTCCTCACCCCTAATTTAGAGTTTTAGAAGATCTCTTAGAGATCCAGTCCATCCCTGACATTTTACAGGTTTGGAAACTGAGACCCAGCTGTTAAGTAACTAGCTTAAGGTTACATCTTTGGTAGAGTGGGGTTTTTGACCCAGACTCTAATACCAAATCCAGCGTTCTTTCCATCATAATTGCTTTCTTTCCTATACACCCAGCCTGGTTAAGTATTCTGTAGAGTCCAAAAACAGTAGTTCCTGCCCCGTTCTTCAAAATCTTGTTTAAAAATTTAAAACTCAAAAGCTTATGGAAATGATTATTGATAAATCAAAATAAATTAACAAAAAAAATTTTTTTTACATTTGGAGACTTCTAAGAGGGTATTAGACTGAACCCAAACCAGGGAACACACAACTACTGAAATGTTGGTCGTGGGGAGGTTGAAAAATGAAAGGAAAAAACCCAAAGGGGAGCAACTGCTTGTGCCTTCTGGATTCCCCTGTATCAGATGGGTAAAGATATATATATATATAAAGGGAATAGGAACCACAGCCACTAAAAGATGTACTGCCTCAGGTCTGGGAGAGAGAGGGCCTGAAAAGGGACCGACACTGTATTGGGGCTGGGAGAAAGGGGCAGGATAAAGAGGGAGGAATGACTTGGGGAGATACCAGGGGGGAGGAGGGTGAGGGCAGGCATCAGAGGCCACTACCACAATAGCCAGGCAGAGCCACGGGGGAAAAAAGGCCTTCAACTTTGAGCAGCATCCACGAAGGTCCCCTTACTATCTAAGGGCATCTGCTTCTCATCATATAAATTACATGAAACCAAAAAATGGTCCCTGAAACAATTACTAGAGTAAAGTAGAAGTTAGAAAAACAATAACATACTATCTTAAAGATAAAAGATAATATCAATGCCACTTATCAAAATCTGTAGAATTTAGCTGAAACAGTTCTTAGAGATGAGTTTATAACACTGAATGTTTAATAAAAGGAAGAGACTAATTGAATTACAGCTGTACCTAAAGATTTTAGAAAAGGAACAAAATAATAGTCCAAAGAAAAGTAGGTAAAGAACAATATTAAAAATCAGAGTAGAAGATGAAGAAAATGTTTAGTTAATAAATTAAACCAAGAACTAGTTTCTCTAGAAGACCAAAAAATTGACAAACCATTAGCAAACTGAATGAAGAAAGGAGAGAGGAGATATGTCACTGAAATTAGAAATGGAAAAAGTAATCACAAATACAAAAAAATATAAAATATTGGTATATTGTAGCTATATATGGTAATTTGAGAATTTAAACTTGCAAAATATCAGTAAACAAAATTAATACAGTTTTAGGGGAGTAAATAAGTCAAATAATTAAACATTCTAATTATAATCCTGGGCACTTGGTCCTGATGAGATCATCAGTTACTTTTCTAAGCTTTGAGAAACAAATAATTTCTATACTTGTGCAGACTTGAAATATAGGAAAAGGTAATATACTAATTCTTTTTATAAGGCAAATATAGATGGCCTTAATTATAAAAACCTGGTAAAGATGAGGGGTTTTTTTTTTTAAAAAGATTTTTAGGATAGTCTTATTGATTAATTTAAATGTAAAAATATTAGCAGAATTTAGCACATTGAAAATCATTTATCATGACAGTGAATTTATTCTAGAAAAGATGGATGCCACAGGATTGGGGGGGAAATAATGTGAAACATTAGGAAGGAAAAACATAAAATCATATGATCATAGCAGTAGATGCAGAAAAGTCCTCCAATAGATTATAGTAGCCATTCATAAATTAAAATATTAAAAAGAATAGTTATAGAGAAGAGCTTCTTTATAGAATTGGATTAAATCTCAGTGAAATTTAGGTAGCAAGCAAACAGGAACATTAGAGGTTGCTATAGGGTTGGGGAAATAGTGCTAAGGAAATTAAAAACTAGAATTTAAAATGTGTTATAAATCAGTATTCTTCAAAAACTAGAAAAATAGAACGATGGGATGAACCAGCCAAGAAATAGAATCAAATATACAGATATGTGTGATAAATCTAGGAAAAGTAAAAACTAATAAAAAGGATTCATTATTTAGTGTTTTAGAGAAATGTGAATAACAATTTAGAACCTTGCCTCATTTCACATAAAATGCAGCCGGACCATAGAAAAAAGCTGTTTTTGAGGACACATATGTGTGCCTAGGCAGACATGACTTTGTAAGAAAATAGAATGATACATAACTCAATTATGAAATGCAGAAAAATTGTCTGCTAAATAGAAGGAATTGTAGGGAACAAGAGAGATTTATTTACGTAAAAATGTTCTGTAAAGCAAAGATAGATTGGGGAAAGATAGGCTATTATGGATGTTTTGCCCATTGAAATTCATTTTTCAGTTTCAGCATTATGAATGTATGTTTCGTTGATTTTGTTCAAAGCTGGGGAGCGGGGGGAGACAACCAATTTGGCATTACAGAAGCAGAGTTTGAGTCCTGGCTCTGCAACCTTTACCACCTGTGTGCCCTTGGACATGTTATCTGATCTCTTTGGGCCTCAGTTTCTTCATCTGTAGAGCTGTGGGGTTGAACTAAGTGGTCTCTGATGTTTCAGTTCTAAGTCTCTGCTCCTTTGGACTTCACATCTGGGTTTTCCCCCAACCACAGGGAATCGCTGTGTAAAGGGAGAAGAGTTGAGTCTAAAGGGAGAGACAGTCAACGACTGCCATGCCGAAATCATCTCCCGGAGGGGTTTTGTCAGGTGAGTGCTGCAGAGCTGAGATGCCTCACAAGCATGTAACCCTTGTCTGTTGTGGACTTCCTCCTGTGACCCAGACAGAGGGGAGCTGGTTAAAGGAAAAAGCACCAGTCACTGGAGTGTCTTATCCTTTTGATGTCAGTTCAGCACCCACTGTGTACCAGGTACTGTGCAAGATAAGACAGCCCAGGGGGATCTGTGAGCATGAGGCACTGTACTGACCACTCACTTGGTGATGTCTTGCTGAACTGCTTTTTTTTTAAATTTCTTTGATACACTTTGTTACAAGGAATGACACAGAAGGACAAGGAACAGGGTATAAAATGAATACCAATAAATACCCATAAGTTTGTTGTTGTCTTTTTATTTTTATTTTTTGGTTTTTTTGGCTAGACAATGGGGTTAAGTGACTTGCCCAGGGTCACACAGCTAGTAAGTGTTATGTGTCTGAGGCCAGATTTTAACTCAGATCCTCCTGAGTCCAGGGCCGGTGCTCTATCCACTGTGCCACCTCGCTGCCCCATGTTGTTGTTTTTTTATAGTACAACCTCTGCTCTTATAGAGATTACAATCTAAAATCAGGGATAGGGAAAAGAGGATGAAATACAACATATGCACATCTGAAGTAAGGTAGAATGTGATAATTCAAATGAGAGATCACTGAGCTCACTCCCTATTGCACCTTATCTCTGTTCCTCATCCCCTTTCAAGCCTGACAATGATGCTTTGAGCTTTGGCTTCTTAAACTCTGAAGTTTGGCTGTAAGCCTCATATTGTCTTGTGTAAGAGGCAGCTAAGTGGCTCAGTAGATAGAGTGCTGGGCCTGGAGTCAGAAAGACCTGAGTTCAAATCCATTCTCAGACACTTATTAGCTGTATGACCCTGGGCAAGTCATTTAACCTCTGTTGGCCTTAATCCACTAGAGAAGGAAACAGCAGACCACTCCAGTATCTTTGCCCAAAAACACCCATGGACAGCATTGGTGTGCTGTAGTCTACGGTGTCACTAAGAGTCAGACATCACTGAATGACTGGCCAAAAACAAGTAGTCTTGTGTAGCAGGTGAGTCCTCAGACTGCCACCCTATCTGTATGAATTGATCTTAAGGAATTCATCCCCTCTCTGGAAAGAATCTGTGCCCTACACATTGAGCTGTGAGGAGCCCCCAAGCCGAGTTTCTAAGTGCTCTAGCTTCTTAGCCTTCTTGGCTACCTTCATAGCCTTTTTGGAAGTCAAAAATTACTTCTTGGCATTTGGGGTCAGGGGAATGAGACAACTACCCTTGGGAATGTTTTTATCATATAAAAAGCCCAGCCTGTATCTACTACCTCTCTGTTTCCATTGAATGATTTCTTTAGTCTGTCCTAGACTATAGGATAGGAAACACAACTCTGGGAGAAACAGTGTGTTACTGTGGTTTTAGACAGCATTTTTCTCTTCAGCCACTGTAGAGATGAGTATTTGTAGTATCAAAACCAAATTAAGCGGGTGTTTTGCCAAGCTTTGTAAACTCCGGTCTGAAAATGGTTTCTGCCCATTGCCTCCTGAGCCTTCTGAAGTTTTTTGCATAGCTGGAGAGCAAACTGAAAGGTTTGGTGCGTGAAGACACCTTCTCACGTGTCCCAGACAAATCAAGGGGCTGAAGGAAGAAGCACCAGCCCCCCGAGTGAACCTCTCTCTTTAACCTCCTTCTCTTTTGTAGGTTTCTGTATCATGAGTTAATGAAATACAGTCCCATGTCTTGGAAAGACAGTATATTTGAGCTTGCCCATGGAAATAAGCTACAAATAAAAAAGAATGTGACTTTCCACCTTTACATCAGGTTGGTATGGATTACCCTTGGTCATTCATCTAGTGAGCTCTGTCTACACGTTAGCCATCATTATTCTTCTTCATCCGAGTTTGTCTTGTCCTTAGAGAAGGCTCACTGACATGAGAGAGGCCCCAAACACGGTGTGATACAGCAGCGTGGCTTTATAGCTCACCTCCAGCACTGCTGCTCTGGAACCCTGGGCAACGCACTGGGCCTCAGTTTCCTCCTCTCTAAAATGAAAATAATAACATTTACCTGCCAGTGTCATTGTGAGGGTCAGATAAAATATGTGTGTACAAATGTGTGTATAGGGCTTTCTAAGCCTTAGAGTGCTGCATAAATGGTGGCTGTCATGTAAGATATTGTGTCGTCTGAGCTAGTCCACAAGTCAAACTCTTACCAAGTAGCGGGAAGTCCTTTATCACACATATCTGTGGAAAGCCATACTCACTCATCCATGTGTTTAGGGCACACATCACAGCTGTACACGTTCACATTCTTTGTACAACCCATCCCAAACAATGGACAGTGATTCCAAGGAATGTTTCTGTTCCTGTTGTTCTGGGAACTCATACTCTTGTTGGTTTCTCTACCATGAGTTAATGAATTACAGTCCTTTCTCTTAGACGTTTGCACCTGCCTATGGAATTAAGCTACAAATGAAGAAGTGGCTTTATGTCTCTATGTTGAATTTGACAAGACACAGAAAAATTAATAGCCCACATTTACATCTCACTTTAAAGTCCTTTACATATTATCACATTTGAGCCTTCTCATCCTGTGTAGAAAGTAGAGCACGTATTAATATCCCCATTTTACAGGTGGGGAAACTAGTTCAGAAATTAAGTGATTTGTCCAAGGTCACATAGCTAGTAAGTGGCAGAACTGGGGCACAAGTCCAGATCTTCTGACTCTGAACCTAAGTGTTCTTCCAACTGTCCCCCTAAGAAACTGAGAGGGAACCTGAGTCCAGCAGACTCCCTTTCTGTATTTCAGCACTGCCCCTTGTGGAGATGGCGCCCTCTTCGACAAGACATGCAGTGATCCTCCAGAGAGTTACATGGACTCACAGCACCAGCCACTCTTTGAGAACCCTAAACAAGGCAAGCTGCGCACCAAGGTAGAAAATGGTGAGTCACAGATGCCTCCCCCTTCCCCCAAAGTTCAACTCCACAATGATTACAGGGGACAGGTGGAGATCACTTTTTATTCTCATCATCAAATACCTTTAAGTCCCCTCTGTCTATGTGACACAGTTCTTGCCACCTGAGAACTTAGAGGCTGAGAAAACAATACTCACAAATGGAAAAGACATATACTGCAGTGAGCCAGAGAAACAGCCTTGTTAATTCTAACTAAACTTGTTAACTTTTTTTGGAGCAAAAGGTGGAAGAAACAGATAAAAATATGTCAGTAAGAATGGTTGGCGGTAAAGGAGTAATGTTGAGAGATCTAAGTCAAGGCAAGGAGGGTCAAAGAAAACTGGTTGTTTAGCTGTGACATTGACTCACAGAATCTTAGAGTTGGAAGAGACCTCGGAATGGTTCAGTTCCAGTGACCCCAAGAGTGGGCTGTAACCAGAGGCAGAGAGGCAAGGCTCCTGGCTTGGTGGTCAGAATGAGGGTCCCAAGTATTAAAGGCCCCACACCCACAGTACTGTCTTTGCCCTTTAGGAACTTAGAGTTTAGGATGACACATGAGTACATAAATACCACGTCAGGGGATGGTTATGGGCTGGCATCCTTAGTGGGATTGTAAAAGTTGCCTTTGGATCTTTCTCTTGTCTTTAACAGGAGAGGGTACAATCCCAGTGGAATCGAGCGATATCCTGCCAACATGGGATGGCATTCAACATGGAGAAAGACTGCGTACTATGTCCTGCAGTGATAAGATTCTTCGTTGGAATGTGCTTGGCCTGCAGGGGGCAATGCTGTCCCACTTCTTGCAGCCTATTTATCTCAGCTCAGTCACTCTTGGTGAGGGACTTGGCTTGGGATCTGGGACTGGTGTGAGCTGGTACTGCCTGGACCCCAGCAGATGGCATTCTGCATTGCCTGGCATTAGTGGGAGGCCTCCCGTTTACAGGGTGCTTTATGCATTGGTTTTAATTGATTCTGTGTGCCCTTTCCACTGTTGTAAGAAAATCAGTTTGAACATTTAAAGCAGCTGGGCCCGCATGAAGCCATGCCCAGCAACATTTTCTCCAAGATAAGTTAAAGAAATGCGGTAGCTAGAAGTGCAGTGTCAGTGTCTCTTTATACTCCAGAGTCTTTGATTCTGTGGGTGTCTTTATGTGGTGTGTAATATTTTACTAACCCAAGCTTGGGCCAGGGAATCTGCAGTAATGAGAGAGCCGGACAGCCCTTCTCCCCACAAGGAAGGGGTCTGCTTGCCTGGATGTATCTGTTGTAGGCCCTGGCACGCACCTGCCTGTTAAGAGTGCTCGGAGCAGAAACCCTTTGTTTGCTTGCATTTAGTAAGTACTTGATTGGTTCATTTGTTGATGCACGTGTTCACTTTTTCTGAATTACTTAGGTTACTTGTACAGCCAGGGACACCTGACACGGGCGATCTGCTGCCGTATGTCCAAAGACGAAAGTGCATTCCAAGAAGGGCTGAAGCCTCCGTACGCTGTCAACCACCCTAAGGTGCTATAACTTTTACCTCCCTTTAAAATAGCCCTATCGGGGCAGCTAGGTGGCACAGTGGATAGCGCTACAGCCTTAGAATTAGGAGGACCTGAGTTCAGATCTGGCCTCAGACACTTGACACTAGCTGTGTGACCCTGGGCAAGTCACTTAACCCCGATTGCCTCACCGAAAAAGAAAAAAAATTGCTGGGGTAGCTAGGTGGTGCAGTGAATAGAGCACCGGCCCTGGAGTCAGGACCTGAGTTCAGATCCAGCCTCAGACACATAACACTTACTAGCTGTGTGACTCTGGACAAGTCACTTAACCCCAATTGCCTTACCAAAAAAAAATAACAATAAAATAAAATAGCCCAATCAACAACAACAGATGTGTAAATATTTGAATGGGTTAGGAGGAAATAGCTTTCATCCTCCCAGCCCTCCCTTGGAGAATGGCACCACTTCTTCAGACCTTTATGGAATTCATTTGAAAGAAGGTTGTTCCCCCTTCTTCACTTCCTCTTTTCCTAGACCCCATGGGCCCCTGCCTCTGCATCCCCCAGTGGAGAGAGAGATCCACTTTTGACCTATTTCCCTTGGATTTCCGTAGGTGGGCAGGGTCAGTGTATATGATTCTACAAGGCAGACTGGGAAGACCAAGGAGTCCAGTGTTAACTGGTGCGTGGCTGACAGAACTGAAATAGAGGTCCTGGATGGCACCAAAGGCAAAGTGGAAGGGTAAGGGTTTGTACTGGTAGAAGTGGGGGAAACATCTTCCTTAAGTCCTTGTTGGGTTAGTGGACATTGTGCTGGGCTCTGCCTTTTACTAGCTGTGTGGTCGAGAGCCAGTCATCTTCCTCCTCTGGACTTCAGTTTTCTCATCAGTAAGATCAGAGGGCTACAGGAGAAGATTGCTAGGGTCCTTTCCAGAGTTAAATGCTTTGTGACATAATCTGTGATCCCAAGTTGACGGCCTAGAGAGTCTTATGTGAAACTATTAGTGTGAATTCAGTCTGCTTCCTTCTGGTTGGCTTGATAGTTTCTCTACTTTGGGGACTTCCATAACTGACCTTTTCAGGCTCTAATGAGGAAAATATTCCGGTTTTTGTAGACCAAGACTTGATGTATCACGTCTCTCCAAGAGGAGCATGTTCAGCCTGTTTCAGCAGCTATGTGCCCATCACAACCGCAAGGACCTACTGAGGCTTGTTTCCTATAACGAAGCCAAGAAAGCTGCCCAGGACTACCAGGTGGCCAAGCAGTACTTCATAAAAAGTCTGAAGGACATGGGCTTCGGCAGCTGGATCAGCAAACCTCTGGAGGAAAAGAACTTTTCCCTCTGTGATGCATAGTGTGCTCAGCTGGTTGTTCAGGGGTATTTCAGGGTTTGGGGTGGGAGGTGGGTGGTAGCATTCTTTATTATGTTGGTGTTTTGTTTTGTTTTGTTTTGTTTTTAGTGGACCCAAGATTGCTAATATTTAGGGCTTTGGATTCCCATTTGTCCTGCCTCCTCTGAGGTTGTTCGGTAGGGTAGGATGGGCGAGGCCTTGCCACCACCTGTATTCCCAGAGAATAGGCAGAAATCTGTGGGGGAGAGAAGAGCTCTTCTGTCTCTAATAAGCAAAAGCAATCATTGGGCAAATGCAAGGTGGTCCCTCAAGCTTTTTCTTTGCTACATTCACTTCTTGAGGTCTTGATTAGGTTCCAGTCAACTCTTTGTGATTCAAAGACTGATATAATTGGTGGTTTATCCCAGGTCCTTTGGCTTCTCCACCTTCTCTTCTTTCCCCTTCCTTAAACTGTCTGGCTACTCCACATTTCCCCCTGAGGAGGGTGAACGCAGTGGTGAATTTCAGGTATTGGGCAGAATATTTGCAAAGAGAAGAAAGGCTGAAGTGAAGAAAGGTTATCTGTGCCAGTAAAGGAAAGCATTAGTATAATCAAGATCTACAGCTAATCTACCCAAAAAACCTGGTAGTCACGTGTCCTTCTACCCAGTTGAGAGTGGGTGGATGTGGAAAGCATAATACTGACTCATAGCAATAACGGGAGGGAAGGAGCAGAGTAGGAAAGAAACTCTCCTAGGGCTACATGTTTAGTTCCTCGGTGCAGTAGGGGCAAGAACACTACTGGAGGGGGCTGGAGCCCCCAAATCCTAGCTATTATTAAGCCCCGCTGCTGATAGTTGCTTTCCATAGTAATTTCCTTACTAAAGGTAAGAGGGCCTTTACCCCAAAACAGCTGAGTGGGACAGTGCCTGGGTCAGATCCCAAAGGTGGTGTATAACCTCCTCAGCCTAAATCTTCAATCAGTGGGGAACAAAAAGAAGGGCATGACAGTTGCCATGCTGGGGGATCAGACCAGCTTCAGGTCAGTCAAGTACTAGATCTCTTGCCAGCCAGGCCAAGGAACATTGACTTGTGTTGGCAAAAATAGGGGGTTTAAAAATACATGTTATTAATTTTTCATTCCCAGAAGTAACCAAGAATTGTCATTCAAGTTTAAAATTAGTACCTTAATCCTTCAATTATATTAGAAGTATCTCCATGTGGTTTTGATCATTGATTTCTAGAGATGACTCTTGACTAGTACAAAGGCCCATAGGATGGTTCCTTTCCCCTGCTTGTTGGGGAGAAAGTGGACATTGTAAGCAAAAAGCAAGGTTTCCTGAAATTGCTGACTTAACTCTGAGTTAGATGCTCAGGCCCAGTGTCTCCTTGGCCCAAGATATTCTTGTCTGCACCTCCATCACCAACTCTCAAGTTGGAGTAAAGATTAGCCAGATATCTCAGGGAGAATAGCAAAAATATTTCACCCTTAACATCTGTCTTTTCTCTAGCTCTCCCTAGAATGGTACTGATACAGTTATACCTGTTATCTTGCCAAGACATACTCCTTCCCATTGTCCAAGCAATCCCCTGGTCCAACTATCTGTTCATACCTCCACACCTCCAAATATATAAACGCAAGCATAAACATGCACACATTCATTTTTATATCTACATATATATGTATCTGTGTACGCACACTTGCTATGTAGCTACTACAGTCTGTCTTCTTAATCAGAAATTAAGGAGAGTGAGGAAAGCCAGGATGTCATGACATGGTAAGAGTGTCTTTGTGGCAAACCAGAATGTCCCTAGGAGCATGTTGAAAAATAGTGCCCTTCTTTGTAAAGAAGGGCAAAAGCTCTTGGCCCCTGCCTCCAATACTTTTCATCCCTTTCAGTCATAGGTTGGATGAAGCTGGTAATATCCTGGTACTTGCCCCAGGGGGCAGTGAGGTCTTGTGACTACTGTAATTAGGAATCTCCCAGACAGGAAGTTCTTTTATCCCGGGTCCCCAGATTAAGAGCATTATTATCTCTTTCTTCCTCCTTCATTACTCGTTGATAGAATTGGAGTGTTTGACAACCCCCACCACAGTCTGCTTTGGTTGGATATTAGAAACCCTCAGCAAAACATACTTTGTTGGCTCTGGTCCACACCATGTAGAATGGTGAACGTTGTTTTTATGAGAAGGCTGCAATGTATCAAACATACCTCCGTCCCTTACTAATGATTCTGTTTGTGTTGCAGGAACATTGGGCAAAGGAATGTGTGTTTGAGACTGTGGTAATCCTGCCCCACTCTCTCCTTCCTACTTCATTCACACAGACGCCCTCCCCTCCTTTGTCTGCTGCTGAGCAATGGAGAAGGGGAAGGTGGAATTTCCCAGGGATGGATCTGATGCCATTTTATGAGGTCTCTTCTTGGATCTTTAGCCCCTTTATCATGATCCTTCTCAACCTTCCTCCCAAAAGGGGGGTAAATGCAATGATTGGTAAGCCTGAACAGTTGCAATTGTATATCCCTTAGAGAAATCACTTAGCATAAATTATCTCCACCTGAACCAATTTCCCTTTTGAACCTGAGGGTTAGTTTGCTGTTGGGAGTGGGGGGCCTTTTGGCAATAGCTCTTGAGAGCAGAACAGAGAAGCAAATGTAAATGTGAGAAAACTGACCACAATATACTTGTTTTATAATTCTGCCTTTAAGTATCCCTAGATATCAGTGATTGAAGATATACATTCCTCATAAGAAATAAAAGAAACTTTCTGTATTGTTAGACAACCTTAGTTCTGCAACTCATTTGGTGAGTTAAAAGTTCAGAGAAGGAACCCTAAGACCTAGGATTTTTTTTTAAATGCTGAGGAGCTGATTGCAAACCTGTTCTGAAGAGAGAGCCAGTGCATCTGTTTGACAGCAGAAGGAAGCATTTCAAAGGCGCTGCCTGGAACAAAGGGAAGCTGCTTCAGCAGCCCCCCCAGAAGGGGCTGTATTTGCCCTTAGAAATGTCCCAGATGGCTTATGTGCTCCAGCCCCAACCCCAGCTTGCTCATCTGTCTCCTCTCATTTGCATCACTTCTTCCACAGGGCCTTGGTCTACTTTTTTTTAAGGTCAGAGTATATTGTACACCTAGATTCAGCTTTGACTGCTTGTTTTAATGGAATTGGACTTTGGCCATTTGCTTTTTAATACATTGATAATACCTTGAATGTGTCTTTCACCTTCCTTTCATGGAGTACCCATTATTTCCTAAGGGACCTGTTGTTTCTTTTGATCTCATGAAGTTGCTTGCAAGATAAGTAGGTATGTGCTTTGAAAGAAAAAAATAACCAGTATTGCATCAACCTGTATGCTAGGTAAGATTAAAAAACCAGGTCATTTTCCTTAGCAAGGTCCATTCCATGTGTTGTAGGGAGAAAGGAGCAAGAAATAGCTATCTTTTGACTTTTCTTCCCATCTCCTCATGTCATAGTGTTTAAGCCTAGGGTGAGGACAGATCTATCACAGATTTTCTTACAGGATTGATTGTTCCAAGTCCCACTTCACAAGTCCTGCCTGTGTTAGGCATGACATTTCCTGAGACAGATTGTGGTCAGCTAGCCACCTGCCATAGCAGGTTATAGGGAAAAGGCAGCTTCCAGTGGATAATGATTTTTGCTAAGGTGTGTTTTTGATCAGCTCCCCTCCGCCCCGCACTCATCTTTCCCCTTTCCCTGATGCTTGGCAAATAGCTAACCTCTAGTTTTAACTGTTTCCCAATCTGTAGGCTTACATTGAGAGGCTCCTTTCTACATATGGACTAACAGGTCTGTCTTTTAAAGGAGAAACCTTGAGGGGCCGCTAGGTGGTGCAGTAGATAGAGCTCTGGCCTTGGAGTCGGAGACATATGAAACTTACTAGCTGTGTGACCCTAGGCAAGTCACTTAACCCCGATTGCCTCACCCCAAAAAAATAAAAATAAAAAAAGGAGAAACCTTGAAAAGCCATCCAAGCTTCCTTCCTACCTGCTCTAGGCATCTCATGTATGTAATGATTTACATATAAAAAACCTCTACTGAAGATCAGTTGCAGCAATCATGGAAAATCTTTAAAAGCATTATATAAATCTTAGCTATTATATTGAAGTCTCCCATAGCTCATCATGTTGAATAGCCCTCCCCAAAGTCACATTTTTTCTGGGATTTGTTCAATTTAATACCTTCTGCTGCGGTTTAAATGCATTTCTTTTAATTTTGCCATGAGATGAAATTGAAAATACCCTGTCACCATGATTGAACCCAACTGCCATAAATTATGAATTTGAAGACTCATAGAAATGAGTGAGAACAGGCTTCTTTTGGACTCCCATAACCCTTATTTATTATTTTTCAGTTAAATGTAATTCTCCAGCCCTTCTTTTTTGAGCTGGAGGAAAAAAACCAATCAGGACTCTGGCTGAATAGTGTTTTTGTTTTTTATTATACGTCAAAACCAAGATGATGCTCCTTTAGAAGAAGAACCTTCAAAATCTTAAATTCCTGTGGCATCCAGACTGGAATAAGTTGGAACACTGAGTGTTAAGACTGGACAGATAAGAGTGACCATTGAAGTGGGAGGTGAAGGAGTTCCAGCTCCCCAGGCCTTCACTCCCTCAGGCACTCTGTGTGAGTGACAGAGAGAGAGAGAGAGAGAGAGAGAGTGAGTGTGTGTGTGTGTGTGTGTGTGTGTGTGTGTGTATACACGCAACGTGTGCTCATGAGGTGGGGAAAACTGAACTGTTTTATAAAGGGTTCATTGCAGTAAAGCCAGAAGGGACCTCAGAGACCATCTAGTCCAAAGATTGATCAAGTTTCTGATTAATGTCAGCGTTTCCCCCTATCTTTCTTCTTAACTGGGCTGAGGCAGTAGCAGTTAATAAACTGTGATTGGGAAGTTATTTCTTTAGAAAGAAAAAAGCAGGAGTCAGCACCATTGCATAGATCTTGAGGACCTTTCAGTATTGTGGTGTAGGGATATAACCACACCTCACTAAGCTAGCAGGTCTGGGGCTTATCTGGTCCATCCTCATTTTCTTGTGTTCCTACTTCATTATCTGCAAGGTTCCTGTTACCTAAGCTGACACCTTTCTACTCCACACAGTTCATAGCCTTCACTCCTCAGAGACAACGAATGATCCCTCCTTTGCTAGGCCTGCTGAAACATGGAAGTGATTCTTGATGTCCTGTTTTTTTGAGTGGGCTTACCTCAGCTCCTATAAGCTTTCTTTTTCGTCCTGTATTCTGACCCTTTCCTCACTTCTCATCCTCAGCAGATGGCAAGTGACCAGACAATAGTCCCAAGATATAGAACAATCACTTGGAAAGGAAAAAGTATCTCCAAAAGAGAGCAAGAGGACCTAGAGGCAGAAGTGACAGCAGCTCAAAGAAACCTAATAGAGCCCTAAAATAAGTATTTTAACTGCTATGACCTCTTGCATCTGAGCATCCTTGCTTGTTCAGTGGGGTCCAGCCCTCCCTCTCCTATGCCTCCAGAGCTGAACTTTGAGCCTGCCCAACTTTCAAACTCCTCCAAAGCTTCCCTGCACCTGGTAATTAAAAGAGTACGGAATTTAATCCAAAGATCCTTAACCTGGGGTCCATGGGCTCCTCAGGGTCCCAGAACTTGGATGGGGTTGGGGGTGGGAGGAGTATATCTTTAATCTTTACTAACCCAACTGGAAAGTAACATTTAAATTCTGAATGTGGGCAACAAACCTTTTTCTGATAAGGGGTTCAAAAGCTTTAGTAGACTGCCAAAAGTGGGAACCCGTGACAAAAAAGTTAGAGCACCCCCAATCTAATCTAACTCTCACTTTGCTGATAAAGAAAGGGCCAAGAGTAACTTGCGGTAAGTCATAGCCTCAAATGCCTGAGCTGGGAGCCACCCCACCGCCGATGCCCCACGTCTCCCAGGCCGCTGTTCCTTCTACTAACTATACCATCCTGGGTTTGAATTCCCAGAATTGATGTTTAATCACCAGTGTCACCCTGGCCAGTTCAACTATTTATTAAGCACCTACAACGTGTGCTACATTTACTAGGGGCTAGTGATAACGATGACCAAAAATGAAACAAAACCCTTCCTTCAAGAAGTGCACGTCTGTTGTCACGCCACCTTTCTCGGCATCGGTGGCCACATTTGTGAAATGGGAATGCCCTTTCAGGATCTAGGGAACTCCCAGCCCGCCCCGCCCCCGACCTCTGAAGCTTTGTTCTGGTCTATCCACAAACGGGGTGCAAAATGTGGATGTGGTGACTACATAAATCCAAGAGAGGGCAGCGCTTGTCGCGGACTCAGCCGCCTAAATCTCAGGGGAGGGGAAGGGAGAGGGGTGGTCCAAAGCAAGAACTGATTAGACAAGGCGTGGAAGTCTGTCCAGCAACCCCGGGGCCGGGGGCGTGGTGGGGAGAGTGGAGGAGGGGGCAGTAGTGCTGAAACTGCCACCATGTGGCTGTAATTTACTCTAGTCTGGCTGGAGCTCCTGTAAACTCCCAACTGCACTGATGGAGACCCAAGACCCTGCTGACAACAATGATCATTTCTATTGGATTGGAAATTTGGACATTGGAATTTTTTTTTTTAAACTCTGCCTGCATTCTGAGAACAGACTAGTAAGAAGTTTGCAAAGGGGGGCTAGCCTAGTCTAGTGGAAATTTTCTGGGACTAATTCACAGAAAAAGTAATTGTGGGTGACCTGTAATTATCCTTATCTTGTACTCCCACAGATCTCTTTTTGGGGTGGGTAAAGTGTGTGTATGGGAGGTGGGGGGGGGTCCTAGTACTAGAAGACAGGTGTTTACTTGGCCAGTGGCAAGAGGATTGCCGAGGTAATTGATGTCTTCATCTCCGCCCCTTCTGATCTCAGCTTCATCTCTTCACCTCTGAAGAAGTATAAAGTAAAATTGGCCCTCTGGAAACCAGTGCCCAAGTCTGATCACATATACAGACTGACACTTACAGCCCTCTGCTGACCACAGAGTGAGCCCTGGATAAACCATGCAAACTGAAATCAACACAGGGTCCAAGTGGAGGAGGGGAGGTATTCTGTTACCTAGGACAATGGCCCACCAATGCCACTCTGGCCTCCACCCAACCTCCTGAGCTATAATCAGGCTGGAGCAGCTGCAGACAGCAATCCAGGTCAACTGCAAAGTGGGGGGCAGAGTCCAAAGGGATGGAGAAAGGAGTGCAGGAATCAGCAGACTCTTCCCTTCCACGGGAGCTGTCGGGCCTTCTTAAAGTCACGCCAGGAGATAAGGTCAGGTGTAGTTAGGAGTGAAGGTGGCAGAGCTAGAAGATGAAGTCCTGCCCTCCTCTCTCCTGGTTCTCTGCTCTCAGATCCTCAACACGATGCTGAGACTAGGTCTGCACGAGGTGAAGAGAACCAAGAAATTTGGTCACTTCAGTTAAAAAACTCAATTCAGCCTCCCAGAAAGTTTGTCAGAGACTGACTGTGCATACTTGTATTTTCTGTACTTTTTCAGTTAAGGAGGCAACATCATTGACCTTAGCCCCTAAATACGAATTCTAGAACCCTGGAATTCTAGAAATGTACCTAGATTGCCTTTGTAAGATCAGCCCATCCTGACACCAAGCGATCCCCTCACATTCCTTCCATCCCAAGGTAGAGTAAGGTATATGAGGATGATTGAAGTGGCAGCATTTGGGGTAAGTGACAAGCCAAAAGGTAGGATCGAGGTTTCTGTCATCCCAGAAACTGAGAGGGCCCAGAAAGCAAAGAGTGGGATGGTGCCAAAAAACTTTCTGTCTCTACAAAAGGGAAAGTAGGGGGAGAGGGATGGTCAAAAATGCACTCCAGCATGGGGTTTGTGTATCAAGCTACAGACAGGCACACAGAGGTCCCTTAGACTTAGATGCACTGACCAGTTTGTAATCCCTTGCAGCTAAACTCAGCAGTAGTTAGTATAAGCCAAAAGTCTGTTCTCTGAAAAGAGGGTTGTACAGACTCTAGTTGCTATGCCCTACTCTCTGGAGCTACCTACCATTTGCTCAACTTAACCAAGAACCAGAAAAGCCTGCTTATGTCTGTACACTTCTCTCTTCTTTCTCCCCTTCAATCCACCCTCACCCTGTTTTTCTTATGATCTGGAGACAATCTATTTTGGTGAGGAGAATGAGGCCCCTTCTTTTGGACTCTAGGCCTTTTCATTTCTTTGTCTTTCAAACTTCCAACAGGAGTTCTGATTTCAGTCCGTTCCTCTCCTGCCATCTCTGCTCCTTTATTTCTCAGCTGGCATTTCTTACCACTAGCTGCTTTCAGGGCCCCAGAGCAACAAAAGGTTGGGGAGACCAGAGGGGAGGCACAAACCAGCCAAGTTCCATAAGTAGCTTGGAATTTAAGCCTGGCATAAGAGAGAGTGTAAGCGTCTGGAGGGAAGCTCCTCACTCCTGCTCTTCCCTGTCTGCAGCAAACCCCACCACCGCCACCACTACCATGGGTCTTCCATCATGGATGGGCTAAGGTGGCTTAGGTTTGGGGGCTGGACACGCGGTGATCTCACTTGGAGCTGGAAGCAGGGTGGGCCAGGTGGAGGAAGGTATTGGTGGCGTAGTTCTGGAAAAGCGGCTGCAGGAACATGCCGATGGTGCCAAAGATACAGACAAAGACAAAGATCCAGAGGAACAGGCGGTCAATCACCATAGCAACATACTTCCAGTCCTCACTCACCTGCTCGAAGAAAGAGAGGAGAAGGGGGAGGGCAGAGGGTCAGCAACATGATGGGAGAGGGATGAGTGGTGGGTGAGGGCACCTTCCTGCCTGCTCCCCCCTTGTCCCATAGAAGAGGCTTGACACCCAGGCTCCGCCTCTAATAATAAAAATAATGATGACGATTGTAGATAACTTTAAGGTTTACAAAGCATTGTCCTGTTAGCTCATCAGTATCAAGGGACTTACTTGTGAGTCACAGAGTCAGAGATGGAATTTAAGCCCAGATCTCTTGATACTACATCTACTCCCTGCTCCACAAAATAGGGCCATCTCCTGCAATGAGCAGCAGGTGGGTCTCACACGTGCGATTTGACTTGGAAAAATAAGGACCTACTGGCCATGAAAAGAGGAAATCAGGAGTTGCTGATACGTGCATTTGCAAAAAAGTTATCTTTAGGGGCAGCTAGGTGGCGCAGTGGATAGGCCCTGTAGTTGGAGGACCTGAATTCAAATCAGACCTCAGACACTTACTAGTCCTGTGACCCTGGGCAAGTCACTTAACCCCGATTGTCTCCAAGAAACCAACAAGCTTTAAAAGTGTCCCTTGTGCTCCCAACGTGTTACTCCCCAGGCTGCTGCCCACATTGTCTGGTTTAATGTTGGGGCAGTTCATGAAGGAATATAGCGATCACGTCCTTGAGCCTTGGACATAGAGGTAGGAGACCTGATTCTGAAACCATGATACCCCACACACTAGTTGTGTGACGTCATGCAAGTCACCTCATTTCTCCAAACCTCTACTTCCTCATCAGGAATATAATCCCTGACTTGCCTACCTCGGAGTTATTGTGTGGATCAAATGAAACTATCTACATAAGAGTACTTTGTAAAATGGAAAGGCCTATATAAATTTCAGGTGTCCATTATTATTATAACTTGCACTTCATTGGCAGTGTCCCAAATGTGCACCACTGAAAAATAATTGGAGATGGGGGCAGCTAGGTGATGCAGTGGCCAAAGCAGTGGCCCTGGAGTCAGGAGGACCTGAGTTCAAATCCAGCCTCAGATGCTTGACACTAGCTGTGTGACCCTGGGCAAGTCACTTAACCCCAGTGCCTAGCAAAAAACAAATAAATAAATAAAGTGATTGGAGACGGGGGCAGCTAGGTGATGCAATGGCTAGAGCCACTGGCCCTGGAGTCAGGAGGACCTCAGTTCAAATCAGGCCTCAGACACTTGATACTTACTAGCTGTGTGATCCTGGGCAAGTCATTTAACCCCATTGCCTAGACCAAAAAAAAAATTTTTTTTTTAATTTAAAAACTAAAAACGAACCAAAAAAAAAAATAATTGGAGATGAAGAGAGCTGTTAGCCGGAACTCTGGGTTCCAGGATGGCTTCGTCCGCAGTGAGGTTTGAGAAGCAAGGGTGCCTCTCTCTCCCCAGCACTTCCTTAAATAGAGAGGTTCTCATCAATCACCTAGTCTTGCCCACACCTGAAAAGGAGTCTCTATAATGTCCCTGACAAGTGGTCATCTAGCTTCCACTCAAAGACCTCAAGTGATAGGGAACCCCCTACATCCAGAGATAGCTTATTACAGGGATTCTTAACTGTCAGACCATTTTAAAAAAATCAATCTTGATAAATGTATTTCAATACAATTTGGTTCCTTTGTAATTCCATATATTTTATGCACTAGAAATATTATTCCAAGATGGTGTCCATAGGCTTCACTGGACTGGCAAAGGGGCCCATAATACACACAAAAAAAGATTTAGAACTACTGGCTTGCTTCACCTTTTTGAGATTGCACGATATTCCCATGATTTCACAGCCATATAGCATCACTGGAAGAATACTAATGTTTTTAAAAGGTAAGATTTTTGTTTCAGGAAGAATCTTGTAGTCATCAAAAATACTGCACGTTTTCCTCCCGTGATTCAGCCTGTTGTTTTCTCTTTTTCAATCCCGGGGCCTATTCATTTTTAGTAGGTAGTGTCTATCCAAGGTATCTGTATTGATGAACCAGATCTATGGGCTGTATATCATAGTCTGGGTAATAGGCATTCTTCATCCATTTGATTTTTCTTGTGTGGATTGTTAAGCTGACATCTTGAATGATGTGAATCTCACTTAAGAGGCTATGCAATGATCTGGGTGTTACAATAAGTACCATGTCATTCACAAACTGGAACATCCGCTGGGCCTCACCACATATCAGAAATCTCTCGTCCATATAGACTGTCCTGGACATCCTCTGTGACAATGGCAAACATCTTTAGCAAATGTGTGTACCTGCTTTATGTCTTACTTGATATTAATAAGAAGCACCTAGATGGCATAATGAAGAGAGGCCTGAACCTGGAGTCAGCAAAACCTGACAGACTCATCCAGCTTCAGATCTAGCTGTGTGACCCTGGGCAAGTCACTTAACCTGTGCCTGAGTTTCTTCATCTGTAAAACCCAGATAGTAAGAGTACCAACCTCCCACAGTTGTTGGGAGAATGAGTTAATATTTGTAAAGCGCTTTGCAAACCTTAAAGCTATTCATGCTAGCTAGTATTACTGTTGTTTTAATAATGGGACAAACATAATCATCCCATATCTTTAAAGGTATTTTGCACAATCTTATGGGAAGTACCTTGTTGGATAAGAGCCTTTAGAACCGCATTTTGCTGTCTCAGTCATATAACAAAAATAAATATAGTTGTCACCTTATATTCTCTGTTGTTGTTCAGTCATTTTTCAGTCATGTCTTACCCTTTGTGACCCCATTTGGGGTTTTCTTGGCAAAGATATTGGAGTGGTTTTTCCACTGCCTTCTCCAGCTCATTTTACAGATAAGGAAACTAAGGCAAACAGGGTGAAATGACTTGCCCAGGGTCACACAGCCAGTAAGTGTCTGAGACTAGATTTGGACTCAGGAGGATGTCTTCTTGGCACCAAGCCTTGCAATCCATTCTACTGCCTCGCTGCCCAACATACTGAAGTGGTTTGCCATTTTCATCTCCATATTCTCTGCATCTTTTGGTTAATTTGTTACTACAATGATGTGGTCCTCTGTAGAATATTGTTTCTGAAAGCTTCTCATATTTTTACCAAAAATGCTCATGATACAGTTGTAAAGAATTCTCTGAAGAGTTTGTAGAGATGGAGATGTAGAGATAGAAATTGGCAATAAATACTATTCTTACATGTAATGACACACATGATGCTTTCCAATCATTTGGTTTCATTTTTGGATCTCTTGAGAATCAATCCCTCAACACCCTCAAAACTGTGTCTGCTCCAGGGTGGACCCACTCTGTGTCTCTTTGATCTGGTCCCGCTGTTCCTCCTGTCTTCATTTTCTTTAGTGCCATTTCTGCCTCTTCGCATAGCTCATTGGGACTGAGACGTTAGAGTCCAAAATTCATCATTCCACTCATTGTCAGTGGAGAATATGGTTTGTTATAAACATCTTGAGAGATCTTTTCAATTGTTGTCTCTTGTCCTTTTTCTAATTTCATCCTTAAATGTTCTTGAGATCATCTGGCCAATTTGGGACTCGTGGCAAGCTTTCCATTAGCTTGGTCTTTCCTCTATCATTTCCCCTGTTTTATGATATGCTGCTGCCCCTGGTCTTTCACCATCCTTCTCTACTGGATGTATAAATGGCATATATTCTAAATTGGCATTGCCTTTGCCTTTTCCGTCTCTCTGGTTGGCATGGAATTCAAGCATTTGCCAACTGAGAACAGGCTATTTTGGCCTATTCATTGTGGCAATGGCTTCATATTTCTTAGACTTCTTAGACTTAGACTTCTTTCAGAAATAGTGATAGTGTTATATCAATGATTGTTGCTGTATCCAGTTCCCACAATAGGTTAAGTAGCTCAGACTAGATATTTTGATCACATGCCATACCTTCTAATTTTTGTTCTTTCCTCTAATTTGGCATTGATTTTTATCTTTGACCTAAGAAGTCCTTAATCTGTCTATACACAACTAGCTAATTGTGAAAGATTCCTACATAGACAACCAATCATTTTCCATTTGAGACATAATTAATTTCTTTTTGATGGGCAGCTAGGTGGCACAGGCAGATAGAGCAGCAGGCCTGGAGTCAGGAAGACCTGAGTTCAAATCTGGTCTCAGACGCTTACTAGATGTGTGACCCTGGGCAAGTCACTTAACCCTGTTTGCCTCAGTTTCCTCATCTGTAAAATGAGCTGGAGAACTACTCCAGTGTCTTTGCCAGGAAAACTCCAAATGGGGTCACAAAGAATTAGGCGCAACTGAAAAACAATTCAACAACAAAAATTTCTTTTTAAAAAAATAGTATTACTCAGTGCTCACCAGGTCCAGTGCATAATGACTCTCTTCTTGAACAAATTACATATAAGTATATATACATACATATATGTCTATACACACATATGTATATATTGTATTGTGTGTGTATATACAGATACACACATACATATATAGCATGTATGAGGCTTTTGTGGAGCCTAAAAGCCTTTAGCCCCTTTGATTTCTTGGTCTGGAGTCAATTTCCCAACATATTTTTCACTGCCTTTCTATGCCCACCTTTTCATTGAAACCACTGAACATCTCCTTGAGTACTGAGTGACTCAACAGCTAAAGTGTTGGGCCTGGAGTCAGAAAGACCTGAGTTCAAATCCGGCCTTAGGCACTTACTAGCTGTGTGACCCTAAGTGAGTTATTTAACCTATGTTGCCTCAGTTTCCTCAACTGCAAAATGGGGATAATAACAGTACCTACCTTGCAATGTTGTTGTGAGGATCAAATGAGATAATATTTATAAAGCACATAGCACAGCACCTGGCACATAGCAGGTGCTATATAAATGCTTATTCCCTTCCTTTCCCTCCTTCAAAGGATCAGAGAATGACACATTTAGATCTGGAAGGGATCTCAGAAGCCATCAAGTCCAAGTTTCCTCATTTTATAGATAAGGAAACTCAAAAACCTAAATGGGGATAATAATAGCACTTACCTCCCAGGGTTAGTGTTAGGATCTAATGAGATAATAATTGTAAAGTATTTAGCACAGTGCTTGGCTAGTAAGCGCCATATAAATGTTAGCTAGTATTATTGTTATTACTATTATTATTGTGATGATGATGATGATGATGATGATGATGATGATGATAATGATGATGATGTGACTTGCCCAGAGTCACATACCTAGTAAATCCCTGACACAGGAGTTGAACCCAAGCCTTCCTGACTCCAAGTCCAATGCCTTACCTACTACATCCCACTGGCTTTCTGAATTCTTTTTTTTTTAATTTAATTTTTTTTTAATTTAGTATTTTATTTTTCCCCAATTACAGGCCTCTCTGAATTCTTAAAATGTCTCTGCCTCCTCTTTTGGTAACAGGTTCTGTGCATAAGCTGCAATTATATTGACAGTAGTCTTTTTATAAATACATATGATAAGCACAGTGATACAAGTGACTAAGTGATTTTTTTTTTGGATGAGGCAATTGGGGTTAAGTGACTTGCCCAGGGTCACACAGCTAATGAGTACATGTGTCTGAGGCTGGATTTGAACTCAAGTCCTCCTGACTCCAGAGCTGGTGCTCTATCCACTGTGCCACCTGGTTGCCCCTACTAAGTGATTTTTCAAGTGATCTTTCTTGTCTTTCTACACAAGGTGAGACTGACTTTGTCAACTCTCTTATTTGCCTTCCAAAGGAGAATTTGTGAGCCATCCTTTCATTTAGGTTCTAATTCCCTGTATCTTCTGCTTTCATTTAAAGCCACAGCAACAACAACAACAACAACAACAACAATAATAATAATAATAATAACCACTAACATTTATATAGTACTTTGAGGTTTGCAAGGTGCTTAACAAAGATTATCTCTGAGGTGGATACCATTATTATCCCCACTTTACAGATGAGACAGTGGAGATAAGGGGAGGTTCAGTGACTTGTCCAGCCTGGGCCTTCCAGCTAAAGTGTCTGCACAGCCCTTGAACTCAGGTCTTCCTGAATACAAGTCTAGTATTTTTTTCTACTATGTCAAGTTCTTAAAAAAAAAAAGTCAGTATTACTTGGCATGATACGGTATCAGTATTATCCTTTCTGCCTCTGTTAAAGCAATCTAGAATTACATTAGCTGTTTTGACAGCCAGGTCTCACTGAGCCTCATAAAATGCTTGTGGTCCACCAACATTCTTAGCTCCTTCTCCTGCCACAAGCTCCAGGCTGTGCCCAAGACACTGACATGGCTTCCCCAAAAGATCTGACTATTCATTCATCCTGCCTCACCTCCTCCCCACCAGTAAGTAAGCTGTACTCTGCCTCCTGGGTCCCTTGCCTCTGACAGTGTCCTTTTAACTTATTTTGCCAGGGGGGTGGGGACAGACAGGCCGACGAGCCATTTTCCAGACCTCTCCACACTGTGGAGAAGGTAGTGCTGAGTACCTTGTCCATTTCCAACTCTCAGTAGAATGAAAGGTCCTCATGGGCTGGGACTATCATGCTTGTTTAGGTAGCACCCTTTCTGTGCTACAAGCGGGGTCTGGTCGCTACTGATACTGTGAAGGGACCTAGCATGAGACACCCCACTTCTTTCTTGGTTTGGCCAGCTTATATAACCTTCTCTCAGACAGTAAAAACACAATTTTCCACCTTTTTCATCATTAACTGCTCCTTATGAAAAAGATCTTAAGGAAAAACCGGCCCTTACACTTACATTGAGGCAGCTAGGTAGCACAGTGGATAGAGCACTAAGCCTCTAATCAGAAAGATCTGAGTTCACATCTGACCTCAGACACTAGCTATATGAGTCACTTAGCAAGTCTGTTGCCCCTGGACAAGTCACTTAACCTCTATTTGCCTCAATTTCCTCAATTATAAAATAGGGGCAATAATAGTACTCTGCCTCCCAGGATTGTTGTGAGGATCAAATGAGATTATAATTATAAAGCTCTTAGTAAAGTATCTGTAGATGTCAGAGGCAGCTAAGTGGCTCAGTGGGTATAACACTGGTCTGGAGTCAGGAAGACTTGAGTTAAAATCTGGCTTCACCTGCTAGCTGTGTGACCCTGGGCAAGTCACTTAACCTCTGTTTGCCTCAATCCAATGAAGAAAGAAATGGCAAACCACTCCAGTATCTTTGCCAAGAAAACCCTATGGAAGGGGAAGCTAGGTGGCGCAGTGGATAGAGCACCAGCCCTGAAGTCAGGAGGACCTGAGTTCAAATCCGGCCTCAGACCAAACACTTGACACTTACTAGCTGTGTGACCCTGGGCAAGTCACTTAACCCCAATTGCCTAAAAGCAAAAAAAAAAAAAACCCTATGGACTGCATTGGCATGCCATGGTCCACAGGATCACAAAGAGTCAGATGTGATTGAATGACAATAAATATAAAGGTTGGCTATTATTATTATTATTACTATTTGTATCCCCAGGCAAAGTCCTTGGCATATGGTAAGAACTTAATAAATGTTCTATCTATCCGTTTGTCTGTCTATCCACTCTCCCAATAGTCAGTTGCCTGGAAATGTGGAGCCCACTGACCCCAGAAGCCACAGCCTCATGGAGTATATCCCTTCCTCGTCCCACCCCCAATTCCCCATCACAATGGCAAAACACTTCCAGTTCCCACGGCAGCTGGCTCAGTTATGGAGGGAGACCAATAAGCCACCCCCGTGGATCTGAAAGAGAAGGCTGTGATATGGACGGGCCGCTCCCTATCAAGATTATGGACGGTGTGGCGTAATGAGAAGAGCGCTGGATTTTGAAAGAGCTCCTTGGGCTGAATCCTGGCTGCAGCACTTGTTTCCTATGTGACCTTGACCTTGGCCTCAGTTTCTTCCTTTGTTAAAAAAAAATGAAGGGGGGGGAGGGTTTAGACCATATGATCTCTTCCTTCCAGCTACAAATTCTTTGAGCTTTAAAAGATGGAGCTAAGGGGTCAGGCTGGGCGAGCAGGCTTAATGTAGGAGAGTGTGAGGTGAAGAAGGTTCTCCAAGTGATTGCATCAGCAAAACCAAATCCATCTCCCCTGAGATCCTAGGATTGAAAGTGCCTTTGCAGAAGAAAATTCCAGAATAGTACAAACTCAGTGAGGAGATGAAGGGGAAGGGCAGGGGAAAATGATGAAAAATGCCTACCCAGCAACCAACATCCTTGCTTCCACCCTCAAGGTCCCAGCCATAAATATTTCATAAGGCTGCTATCCAGGGGAGCCAATTGAGTAGAAAAGGGATATTAGTTTGGGGAGATGCCCTTTCCTAGCAGAGCCAGGAGTGGACCTGTCCTAGAGGGAAATACCTCAGGATATTTCTACTACCCACTCTTCCCAGGGCTTTTATTTTATATCCAATAGAGGACAGAAAGCACACAACCTCCATTCCACTCTTAGAGTTGTTGTTCAATCATTTCAGTTATGTCCAATTCTTTGTGACCCCTTTTGGGGTTTTCTTGATAAAGATACTGGGGTGTTTTGCCATTTCCTTCTCCAGGTCATTTGACAGATGAGGAAACTGAAGCAAATGGGGTTAAGGGACTTGTCCAGGGTCATCCAGCTAACACGTGCCTGAGGCCAGATTTTAACCCAGGAAAATGAATCTGCCTGACTCCAGGCCCCATCACTCTATCCACTGCACCACATAGCTGAAGGGAGGGGGAGACAAGATTTCGCTTGTCAAGAGAGGTGGGTAAGATGACCACACCACATTCTAGAAAGCTGCCTTCTCCCTCTCTCTTTCCCTTGCCCCAACTTAAACCATCTCACTCCGTTGTTGCTTCTTTCTGGAAACAGATATTTGGAGATCAGAAAGATAATTCTGTATCACTCAGAACTCAAAGATTGACCTCTGAAGGAAGCCATTCCAAACTAACCTTGCCTACTGGCCATCCTGGTGGTAGAATAGGTGGGGCACTGGATACAGAGACAGAAGACTGGGTTCAGAGTCTGGCTCTACCACCAGCTAACCATGTGATTTTGGACAAATCCCATCCCCTCTCTGCCCCTCAGATCTGTAAAGTGAAAGCTTTGGATCAGATGGCCTTCAAGGTCCCTTTCAACTTCAAAATCCCAGTATGATCTCTGGCCCACTTTTTGTCCCGCTTTTCACTATACATTTATAAATTTTGTGGTTATGTATTTCATAGGCTTACAGATTTAGAGCTTAAGGGGACCTCAGATACCATTCGCCCCAACCACCCTCCCCATTTTATAGATGAGACCTCACGAGGATCAGTGACTTGCCCAAGGCCATCCAGGTAGAAAGTATTAGAGCTTGGATTCAAACCAAGTTCCTCTGACTCCAACTCCAGCATTATTTCCATTTCTATTGATTGTACCCTAATATTTTGACCTTCTTAAAGACAGGGATAGTTTCTTTTATGTGTGCGTACATATATATAATATAGTATAACCTATAATGTATCTTATGAGTGCTAAAGAAACTTGACTGACCAAATAATTTATATACCAAGTCATTAGGACACCTCCAATACCCCCCCCATGTATACCTCTTCCGTCCCCCAAGGGAGGACCTCTACTCCTCCAGCCCTCTTCCAATCCCCACACACTCACGCTTTGGTCATCATCCTCACTCCTCATGTGATCAGCAATGAAGCGCACACCGTCGACTGCCTCCTTGAGCCTACAGCCACACGGCCCAACAGGGCCCGCTCGCCCCCGGAAGCCATTGGCTGATTCAGCTGACTCAGCCCCAAAAACTCCACCAAACTCCTTGACAGAGGCCTGGTTGACAAAGCAAGTACAGGAATTGGCCCCTGGGGCATCTCGGAAGAAGAGCCCCCCACCACCTTCCTGCTCCTGTTGCCGCCTTCGCTGCCTTAGCCTCTGCCGGGCACAGTTCTGGCGTGGCTGCTTCATGAAGAGGACAGCAGGTAGCTTCTCCAAGAAGACAACTTTGACCCAAGGGGCCATGGTGTGGGTGGTAGGTGATCGGTGATGCACATTGAGGACACAGACACTGGTGACAATGGAGAAAGTCACCAGTACCATGGTGAACATGAGGTACTTGCCGACCAGCGGCACATCCAGTGAGGTGGGTGGGACAATCTTGGAGATAAGCAGGAGGAAGACGGTGAGAGCCAGCAGGACAGAGATGCAGAGTGTCATCTTCTCACCACAGTCAGAAGGCAAGTAGAAGACCAGGATGGCAAGGGAGGTGATGAGGATGCAAGGAATGATGAGGTTGATAGTGTAGAAGAGAGGTTTGCGGCGGATGATGAAGTCATAGGTGATGTCCACATAAGTGGAGTCGTCTGGATTCTCATTCCGCCGTCCGGGCAAGGCTACAATGTCCCATTCACCACTAGGTGTAAAATCATCCAAGTTGGCAACTTCACTCTTCAGTACCAAGTCAATTTCTGTGCGATCATAGGTCCAGGAACGGAACTTCATGGTACAATTCTGCTGATCAAAGGGGAAATGCTTGACCTCAATCTTGCAGGCACTCTTGTAGATGGCAGGTGGAAGCCAGAAGATGCTACCATCATAGGAAACCACAGCATTGGAGTAGAAGGAGACCTCATACACCCCATCAGCACTGCAAGAAGATTGGGTAGGAGGGAAGATGAGGGGAAATCAGTCATGTCTCATTTCTTCGGGGACCCACCCTGTCCTGGGTAACATAAATTGGACATCTAGAGGGAGAAAGAGATTCAGTTCCTACACTTAGGAAGTTCTTAGTCTTATGAGGGATATAAGACACCATCACCACACTCATTCTACAAGGCACAGATGTGGACAGAAAAAAGAACAGATGATTCAGCCAGATGGTGTTCTCAACATTAGTTGAGGGAATAGGGGAAAAAAAAGGAAATGGAGGGGAGGGGGAATGAGGACCAGTAATCAGTCTTAGGAAGGTTCTCTGAAGGGAAGGAAGGAGGAACAGGATTAAGAAAGTGTGTGTGTGTGTGTGTGTGTGTGTGTGTGTGTGTGTGTGTGTGTGTGTGAGAAAGAGAGAGAGAGAGAGAGAGAGAGAGAGAGAGAGAGAGAGAGTGTGTGCTTTTGTGACAGGGGAGGATAAGACTGCTGGAGTAGGAGGCAAAGGGGGCTTATCTAAAGCAGGGAAAATAGCCTGTGGGAACTTTCAAAAGTGAAAGAGGATTAAAGGGTAGGTGGTGATAGAAAGGTGCAGGTAATTCTTAGATTGAATCCGGGGAGCTTGATAGTGCGAACAAAGTGGATTAAGATTTGAAGTGAGACACAGAGAAGCCATAGGATATAGCCTTTGAAACCCCAAGCAGTGGGAAGATAGGGAACATATAGGGAAGGATGAACTTATTAGAGAATGGTGATTCTTGCCCCTGGCCATGGGAGGGATTCCTTGGTGAGAGAAGGGACCTCAAAAGACCCTTTGTTTCCCACCTCTTCTCAACCTAGACTACAAGTAAAGCAGCCTAGTCAACTGGCAAGCATTTTTTTTTTTAAACAGTTTCTCTCCTTCCACCACACCCTCAACACATGAGTGCTGGCCTGGGAGTTTAGGAGATCTGGATTCTAATTTTGCTCTTACTGCTCTAAACTTGCTCAAAATTCTAGTTTTGTTTTGTTTTGTTTTGTTTTGTTTTGTTTTGTTTGTTTTGTTTTGTTTTGTTTGTTTGCAAAAGGAGGGGTAAGGAAAGGGAGGGTGTTAAACTGTATGACTAGTCAGGTCTCTTCTACCTCTAACATTCTATGAATCACAAGGAATCATTATAAGGGTCAGAGTAGTAGCTGAAATGATCTTATTTGTCAACTAATCTATACGTATATTTATTTGTCTGTGTCACTGCCTATATGCTGGTCAATTTATGTTCCTTTCCCTTCATCTACCTTGAACCAGTTTTTGGTTGGTTTTTTTTTTAAATTTCTAACTCAACTCATCCTCCCACTGGCAACCTCCTTCCCTCCCCGTTACTCAAGAGGTACATACTTGTTGTAGAGGACAACATCTGGAAGCCAGATATGCTTGGAAGGGAGCCGTACTTTCTTCATATTGTCGAATTCTTCTGGCTTCCACGTAAGCCGGTAATCCTCCCACTCCTGAGGAGAAATGCCAGAGAAGTGATCAGGCAGAGAGTGGCCATTCCAATAACAGAAAGGATTGGGGGAGGAACTAGAGGTTGACAAGGAATGTGAAAGGGAAGGATTGGAGAAAGCTACAACACGGAGATGCCTTCTGCCATTATCCCCTTCTCCTTTATCTCGAATGTAGAGGTGGCCTTCTGCTTACCAAAGCAAAACATTCTAAATGAACATCCCATTCCATCCTACATTCTCCAGCAGATTGCCCCTTCCATCATCCCCAGCCTCTCAATTCTATTCAATCTCTCCCTATAAATATGGTCACGTTTCCCTCATCCTCAAAAACCCCAACTTGGCCCATCTATCCCCACTAGCAATAAACCCACACCTTATCTTCCTCTTATGGCTAAATTCCTTGAGAAGGCCATCTACAATAGGTACTTCCTTTCCTCAAACTCTATTTGTAACTCTCTAATTGGCTTCTGACCTCATCATTCAACTAAAACTGCTCTCTCCAAAGTTACCAATGATCTCTTAATTGCCAAATCCAATGGCCTTTTCTCAGTCTTCATCCTTCTTGAGCTCTTTGTAGCATATGACACTGGGAAAGACCTAACTTAAAAAGGCCAAGGTCTCCCACTGAGTCCTGATCTATATCTTGTCACTGGACCCAGATGGCTCTGCAGGAGAGAATGAGTCTGGTATATTTGTATGCCCTCCCTCACTGAATTAATTCTTTTCCCCCTCAAACCTCCCCCCTTATGAATTTATATAGGGAACTATTACTGTTGAGGGTATTATTATCTTTTCATTCACTCAAGTTCACAACATCCCTAACTCCTCATTCTCTCATGCCACCCCACATCCATTCTCTTGCCAAGACCTGTCAATTTTATCTTCATAACGTGTGTGTGTATGTATATGGGTAAGGCCTTTTGACCAAGTACAAGTTTTACAGAACAATTCCTCTTACTAAGGGGATTGTTCTGTGAAGTTTGGATTCAGTCAAAGGGCCAAACTTGAGGACCTACAGGGCCACATGTGGTCCTGAGGCTGCAGGTTCCCTACCCCTGAATATATCCTTCTCTCCTCTGACATTGCCACTACCCTGGTGCAGGCCCTCATCACCTCCCACCTGGACTATCACCATAGCCTGCTAGTGGGTCTGCCTGCCTCAAGTCTCTCTCCCCTCTACTCCATCCTCTACTCAGCTGTCAATCTTTCTAAAGTAAAGATCTGCCCAAGTCACCCACTTATTCAATAAATTCTAGTAGCTCTCTATCACTTCTAGGGTCAAATATAAAATCTGTTTGGTATTCAAAGCCCCTCATAATCTGGACTGCTCCTACCTCTCCAATCTTCTTATACTTTACTCTCCACCACGTATGCTACAATCCAGTACCCTGCTAGATTGTAGATTCAGTCTCCTTGCTACTCTTTACACAAGACGCTGCATCTCCCCACTCCAGGCATTTTCACTGGCTATCCCCCATTCCGGAATACTCTCCATCCTTGTCTCCATCTCCTGGCGTCCCTGGCTTCTTTCAAGTCCCAGCTAAAATCCATCTTCTACTAGAAGCCTTTCCCAACCCTCCTTAGTGCCAGTGTCTTCCCTCTGTTGATTATTTCCAATTTATCCTGCCTATATCTTGTTTGTACATAGCTGTTTACATGTTATCTCCCCCCATTAGACTCCAAGCTCCTGGGAAGCAGGGACTGTTTTTTGTCTTTTTATAGTACCCAGCCCATAGTAGGCACTTCATATGTGTTTATTGACTAACTACCTCTACCTCAATAAAACTGTTCAAAATACAGACACTACTGCCATTGACTATTCTCTCTCTATCAGCTGTGGCATAAACTAGGGATACAGAAGACAAAGGACAGGTATCCATGTGACCAAAGAGGTCCTGGAGCCCATGAGACAGGCTTGGAGGAGGCTCATTCATTCAATAAACATTTAAAAGTGTACGCAACACTGTGAAGGCACTAGGAGAAATACAAAGTTGAGATAAGACAGTGTCCCTGCCCCTATTGTGCTCACAATGAATGACTCAGAATATAATATCGTATGATAATACATTAGAAAATTACAGAGTATTTTGTGAGGTATGAGGGGAGAAGGTAATTTTGATAGTGATTGATTAGAAAATTAGGGCAAGAAAAAAGTGACTATAGAAGGAAAGAGCAAATGGAAGGAAAAGAGACACAGGGTCTGAAAAGAAGAGGGGCTTTGAAAGGAGAGTATTAGGTGACTCACCTGGGTCAGCCAGACATTGGTGGTCATGATCTGCTCCCGCTCATGCTAAAACAGAGGGAGCTCTTGATGAATATTCTAGCCCGACTCTTCCATACCCCTCCCAAGTAAATACACAAATGCCTGAGGACCAAGTAGAGAAGATCGGCTAACTTCAAGTACCCAGAAGAACTCCCCAGAAAGGAAGCATATGTGAGAGCTGAATGCACACATATGCACAAATCACACTAATGGGTTGCATTTTATCAGGTGAGAATCTACCCTCTTATCCTAGGGAATTCAGGAGCACAAAGGTGAGCCTGAAGGGCCAAGATTGCTACTTCTAACTTACCACACTAATGAGCTGGGCTAGCGATACTGTAAGCTGCACAGTCACCAGCTCAGAGCCATTGGTGGCCGGTCGAATGAGCTTATTGTAGCGGGCAGGGTCCAGGAGATGTTCCACCAACCTTTCCTCTGTATCTGTAGCCAGGAACCCTGGGATAGAGTGAGAGAAAGCGCCAAAAGGGAGTAAGAAAAGCTAGTTAAATGTATTTTGGGACAACCTCCCTAACAGACAGGGTGCCAAGGAAGGCAGAGCATGGACCCTAAGGCCACAGCTCTACCCTCCTCTCTCCTCCTGACAAAAGTACAAAACATATATGTGATTTTTTTTAAAAAAACACCTTACTTTTAGTATCTATAAGAAATAATGCAAATTTAATAAAATACTATGTCATAATGGATATATGACCAGAATGTAAATGGTTAGTTTTTGAAGGAGGTAGCATATATTTGTAAAAAATGACATAAAATTGTTCCACTTCTTTCATAACCAGAAAACTGCAAATTAAAACAACTTTGAGGTACTACTTCACACTAAGTGAAATAATAAAAATAATAAAATTTGATGTTTGTGCAGCTATGGAAACAGATATTTTATTACAATGTTGGTGGAATTATGAATTCATGCAGTCTCTTTGGCGAGCAATCTGGAAACTTACACTTATAAAACTGATTCCGTTCTTTGACTTTACCAGTAGACTGCATCATAAGGATTTTTTTTCTTGGTAGAGGTGGGGCGTGGATCAGGGTTGGACCTGTGATTTTATTCACATGGCAAACTCCCTTCCTCCATGCAGAATGGCAACCTGCCTGTAACTCAGAGTTTTAGGGAACAACCTCGGGCACTAAAAGGTCACGTGACTTTGCCCAGGGTCACATAGACAATGTGCTTCAGAAGCAGGACTTGAAAGCAGGTTTTTCTGATTTTAAGGCCTGCCCTCTATGTATTCTGCCAATGCTGCTTCTACGAATCCAATAATCTGAGTTCAGATCTCTGTTGAAAAAAGACCTATTGTAAATATATATGCATAGGTATATACATATATATGTTCTACTTGCAACAGCCAAAAAAATATGGAACTAATGTATTCATGAATAAGAAGGGCTAAATAAATGGCAGTACATCTGATCATGAAGTATGCCTCCCACCTCTTAGTGATGGACTGTATGTAGATGCAGAATGAGACATATTTTTTTAGCTACAACCAATATAATACAAATTTCCTTTGCTTGACTATTCTTATATTATAAAGGAGGGTTTTAATTAGACAGAGGAGAACGTAACAGGGCTAGTTCTAGTGATACAAAAAAAGAAGAAAACAACAATAATGAAACATATTAAAAATACACAGAAGAGAGTAGAAGATAGTTCAGAAGTGGACACAGATCAACAAAGCAATGCTGGTAAATTTAATATATATTTAATTAAATTTAAGTTAATTAAAATTTTAATTTAATATTAATATGGATTTGTTTAAAACAAGCTGCATGTAATAGAGCCACAGTTTCATATATAATCCTCATTTTTCTACCTTCCTGTACGGAAATGTTCATGTTTGTTGATAATTTAATAGTTCATAATTTTTTTTGGCTTTTTGGTGAGGCAATCAGGGTTAAGTGACTTGCCCAGGGTCACACAGCTAATAAGTGTCAAGTGTCTGAGGTCGAATTTGAACTCAGGTCCTCCTGACTCCAAGGCCAGAGTTCTATCCATTGTGCCACCTAGCTGCCCCCCCTTTTAAAAATAGTTTATAATTTTAAAAATTAAACATCATATCATCAAAAAATTATGGCGTATCAATGCCACAGAACATATCATAATGGATTACCTGTGCCTGGCACATAACAGGCATTTAATAAATGCCTTTTGATTGATTGATATGAGTCACAAAAATAAGAGGCAATCTGTTGTAATGGATAGTGGTGTTAATCTGGTCCTCAGAAAGACCTGGGTTCAAATCCTGCCTGTGACACTTGCTGGCCATGTAATCTTGAGCAAGTCGCTTAACCTCTAGTGCCTCAGTCAACTCTCTGTGGCTATCAATTGCAGAGAAAGTATCATTTGGCAATGGTAAAGAAAACAGGTCTGGTTAAAAAAAAAAAAAAAAGCAAAACCAAAAACCAAACAACAAAAAACACAGCCAACCAATCAAACAAATAAATAAATAATGGTAAATATCCTGACTCTCATATTTACTGGATACGTGACTGTGGGTAATTCACTTAACCTCTCATTGCCTCAGTTTCTTCATTTGTAAGATGAAGATAATATTTGTATAGTCTACCTCATCAGGTTGTAATGAGCACATTGCTTTATAAGCTTAAAAGCACTATAGAAACATTATTATAAATAAAAAAGAAATATGAAAGGACAAACAGTGTTGTTAAGTGAAAGAAACATAGGGTACCATACCATGGACAAGAATTATACTTTTTAAAAACAACAAAACTTTATACATATGAAGATGGAAAAGAGATTGGAAGAGGGATGCATGCTAAATAAGTTGTTATTTTTATTTTACATATTATATTTTTCTTTTATCAAAATGTAAGTTGTTTGTTGTGATTTTAATTCGAATTTTATTTGTATTTTTGAGAATTATTATTAAGTATATAACAGAGAAAAAATTTAACATGTAGGAAAATCCACAGAAGACAACATACTCATCCTCCAAAAAAGGAGTCCCTGTACTAAGGAACACAAAAGAGTGTCTCTCAGACTGGAAGACCCCGTGGCAGGCTCTATTCCTTGAGGACCAGTGTAAATCTTCCCTTATTCTCTTCAAAGGGGGGAATTAGAGCTTAGAACATGTGACTGAGATTTCCCTTTCCTCTGTGTTATAAAGAAGTCACTCACAACTTCTTGGGCATGAGAGTAAAAAGCAGATTATCACATCTTTCTCACCTTCTGTCCCTCAGAACCCAGCTATTTGTACAGATAACATATGTGTCTGTATGTATGTTCTCTGTATCTGTGTGGCCAGTATTAAGTATGGATTATCTAGGTGTACCAATTGTGTATCTGTCTTTGTGTGTGTGTGTGTGTGTGTGTGCGTGTGTGTGTGCTGTGGTACCTTGGTGTCTTTGCTCTATGTACCTCTCTGTATCTGGTCACATGCTTAACATATCAGGAGGACCTTCTCATTCCAGATTTTCTTGGAGACACACATACAATACGAGATTACATGTTCTCATATCTACCATCTATACACTCTCAGTTACCACATTTTCTTCTCTGACTAAATGCACCTTCAGCCACACACTAACATCAACCCTCAGAATCCCTGCGTCTCTCCCTCCCTCCCCAAGTGCCTGCTCACTCTCACTGTTGCTAACAGAATCACACATACGTGCTCACTTATTTGTTTCGGTACACTCAGCACATTGAGATACAGCAATGTTTCTCACCCCTTTCCCACTCCCCCACCGTCTCTCCTCTTCCATCTCCCACCTATCTTCTGTCTCCCACTAAGAGAGTAGAGATCCCCTCCCTTCTTCCTTTCATCTCTGTGTGGTGACCCAATTTGAGAGCTGCCTGTGGGGTTGAAATAATTAGTCAAATCATATCAGGTACAGGATTCCTTCCCCTCTCCCTAAATCTCAGGTTCCTCTTCTCACTCCTATGACGAGCCCTTCCCTTGTTCGTCTACCCCCCACCTTCCCCCCCCATTCTTCTTCCACCCTTCCCCTCCCCCCCACCCATGGTCTTAATCACAGAATATTACATTTGGTAGAGAGCTTCGAGATTATACTCCACCTCATTTTTGCTCTTGAGACGTCCCTCTCCTCACCCGCTCCTGTCCCCTACATTCCCTGGGGCCCCTCCCCTTCCCCAAGTCTCCCCCAATTCCTCCGGAATCCCGGTCCTTCCAAGAGCATACTGCTCTTTCTCCACTCCTGTCCCCTCGGATGTCTCTGACCGGCTCAGTGTCCTTACCTGGAAACAGCCCGAAGAGGCCAAGGCTGAGGAGCAGCGCCATGGAGAGCGGGAGCCGGGGCATCCCGCCCGCATAGCTTACCTTGCTCCCTCTAGGCTAGCTCACTGCTCCGCAGCCAGCAAGTGACTGCGGGGGGTGGGGCGGTGCGCTGTCCGCGGTACTGAAACCCGGGAGCTGTCCGTGGTGTCGGAACCGGGTTGGGAGGAGGCTGGAGCTGGAGCTGGAGAAGATGGAGATGTAGCAGGAGTCTCTTCGGGTGTTGCTGCAGCTGTTGCCTCGTTTACTGCTCTCTGTGACTGATGCTCCTGCAGCCCCTACAGATCCGGGGGGGCAGGGGGCGGGGCTGGGGGGGAAGATTAGGGGGAGGCGCCAGAACCTAGCTTATCTCAGCCTAGCTGTTCCCTGGGGGGATCCTAGCCTCTATCAGAGGAGCTTCCCACTGTCTGGTTGCCAGAGGGATAGGATGGGGTGAGCTAAAAATCGTTTCCTTCACTCCAGATAAGGGAGGATTCTCTGCCATTGAGGTGGAGTCACTAACACTACTAATCCCGGGACTCCTATCCAGGAAAGTGGGTCTTTCTTGGGCCCTGGTGTGAATCTGCTCTGTTCTGGTGCGGGAGGGGGAAAGGGAAGGAGGAATTAGGATGTGGTGGGGGTTGAGAGCAGAATTCTCCTCCCTACTTGTGATGTTGCCTGCCCAACCTTGCGGGAGAGTCTGCTGGGGGACGGAGGTGGGAGGGGGAGGGAGCGGGGGGGGAGGGCAGGAAGCAGTGCTAGCGAATCCAAGTAGGTCAGACATGGTTTTCAAAAATGTGGTGATAGTGGTTAAATTAGGGGAATGAGCAAAGGGAGAGAGGTGAAAAACAGGGAGAGGGAGACAAATGAAAAAAGGGAAGGTATGGAAACCTTCACCAAAACCAGTCCTGCTGTGTGGGGCTCCTTGGCTGGAGGGGACCAGAAAGAAAGTGATTCTTACTTTCACTTAACGAAGGAGGGGACAGTGCTTCTCACAACCATCGAGGGCTTATGAGTCACCAGTGAAAAGTATAGAATAATACTGGGAGTCTTCTTATCCTAACACCTATCTTCCACCCCAACCCCAGCATTGTCCCACTTTGCTTTTAATAGGAAGGAGAAAGGGAAGGAAATGGAGTTTGTCCTTCTGGTCTTCAACTATGACCTACTCCTTCATCTCCTGCTTCAGAACCAGGTCCTTGACCTGGTTGTTTCCTAGCTGTAACACTGTGAAGAAGGAAAATCAAGTTAGATCATGAAGATAAAATCAAAAGTTAGAAAAAATAGATTGATTTGCCATCTTAGGACTGGGAACTAAGATTCATATTTCCACTGGTTTAGCATTTCTAATGCACCTAAGGAACTTGGGGAAGGAGATTAGGTCTTAACTGGGGCCTTCAGGGAGATGTAGGAGCTGAGGCAGCTGCAGTATGGGTAGGTTCAGTGAAGAGGGAGCAGGATAATAAGAATAATTATCATTACTTCCATCTCTTATATTTGTATAGCTGTAAAGCTTACTAAGTACTTTATCTCAATTGAACCTCACAATGAGTCTATGAAGCATGCATTTTATGCTCATTTTACAGGTGAAAAAACTAAAGTTCACAGAAGCGAATTTGCTCAAGTTCAAACAGTAAGGGAAGAGCTAAGATTTGAATCTTACTTTTCCTATGCCAGGATGAGCAGCCATTTTCTCCTCTCCACATCTGACTTCTTCCAGGTGAAGACTAGACTGGAGAAAGAAATGACTAGGAGATATCTTTCTTCTTCCTCTGACCAGAGGGGAATGAACTATACCAGGGGTGGGGAACCTGCATCCTCAAGGCCATATGTGGCCCTGTAGGTCCTCAAGAGCAGCCTTTTGATGGAATCCAAACTTCAGAGAACAAATCCCCTTAATAAATTTTTGTTCTGCAAACTTGGACTCAGTCAAAAGCAGCACCCCAGGACCTAGAAGGCCACACGTACCCTCGAGGATGAAGGTTCCCCACCTCAGAACTACACTACTTGACATTCATTAGCCAAAGAAAGGTCATCAGGGAAGCTGTAGCCTGATCCACTCACCCAGACCCTGATAGGATCTACAAGACTGCCAGGCATAAAAACAGAGCTGGTGAAGAAGGGAAGAATCAAACTTTGAGGCAAGGTGGGAAGAGGTCTTGAAAATGTCCCAGAATTCTGTATATATTCTTTTTTAAAAATTTTTCTCTGTGTATATTCTTAAGGGCCACAGAGTGAGGCTATGATTGCAAGGAGGGGTTGGAGTAGGGTATGAGAAGGCTAAACCTAAAAGCTGAACACTTAAGTATGGGCAGTTTTTTTCTCCTCCATGATTGAATTAAATTTTAAAATACTCAAATGGATCTTGATCTCAAGAATATAGTCATCTTCTACAACGATGCAAATCATACACCACACTTGCCCATTCTGTGCTACTCTTTTCTGTGTCTCTCACAAGGGGTCCACAACTGTGCTGAAGAGCCCATTTCGATTTTTTTTTTTTACATTACAGAGATACTGATAGAGCTGTCAATGTTATCCCTTACTCTTGCCATATGACTACACCTTTTTCTACTCATGAATTTTTTTGATAACATCCTTAATGCCACTTCTCCTTGACAATTAGTTTAGAATCATAGAGCTAGAAGGAACTTTAGAGGTAATTTACTTCAACGCCCTAATTTTACAGATAAGATTAAGTGTCTTAGCCAAATGTCATACATGTAGTACTTAGTAGAACTGGGATATACAGTGATTCCACTAACTCCAAATCTAGTGTCCTTTCCACTGAACACACTCCTTTATTTGTAATGTGTTGAAGACTGCTCATACCTATTATGTGCCCCTCCAATGATCTTTGGCCAATCTCATTTTAATTCTTTGGTTTGATTAACAACATTTGGAAATGTCCTCAAATCCCTGGAGTTGGATGTGATAGGAAGAACCTAAGTGTTGTAGCAATTGTGGGGGAGAGGAATACAGTGATAGCATGGGTTCCAGAATACAAAGGCAGGGTCCCAGTATATACAAAAGTGTATGTATGTCTAGACATGTCTGCACAGGCTAATATTCCTGTGCAGATGTGTATATCTTAGAGAACTTAGCCATGAAAAAGGCTGAAGAATTAACAGCTTTAAGACAAAGTGGAAATCTGTAGTGTCCAGCCTGGAGAAAGGAATGCTGGGGTAATCCATGGAAACAAGACTGAGTAAAAGTCTTCAAATGGATGAAGAAACAAAGGATGGTAATCTACTGTCTTTTGAGACAAAGAGGGAATAGATATTTATATAGTATTATACACTCTTCAGAACACTTCCATATAACTTACCTCAAGTTTGTTACAGCAGAAAGAATGAAGTTCCTGATTGGAATCACAGAACTATATAATCTGAGAGTTGAAAGGGATTCCAGAGGTCATTTTGTTCAATCTGTAAATATAAACAGGAATCCCCTCTACACCATCCTAACAAATGGTAATCCAACCTCTACTTGAAAACCTCTGGTGATATGGAACTGATGACATCCTGGAGCAGCACATTTTACTTTGGCACCAGCTTTAATTGCTAAGATTTTCCTCACATACTGCAGAAATATGAGTCCCTGTGACTTGTACTTATTACTCCTAGGCCTGTCATCTGGCTAGAACAAGCCTAACCTCTCTTCCACATGACAGCTTTTCAAATATTAAGAAAATCATAATGCTTCCCCTACCCTAACCTCTCATCATTTCCCCAAGCTAAACGTACTCATTCCCTTAAACTTATCTTCTTATGACCTGGAGTCATGAGATCCTAAAACAATTATATTCCTTATGTAATGAACTCTTTTTACTAAAAATCATGAGATGCTACTTTCATTTGTTTTGGGTAAATAAGGAGGCATTTGTTTATTTAAGGTCATTGTTCAAAGTTTTGTTTGTCATTTATGGGTTCATAGATAGATGACAGAAGATAGATGAAAGAACATTTATTGAGTGCCTACTGTATGGTACTTACTAGGGATATGAACAAAGGCAAACAAAAGGGTCCCTACCCTCAACAAACTTACGTTCTCGTGGAGGAAGGCAACATAAATAGAGCAGGAGGCTGGGGGAAAGAGAGGAAACCTGATTGGAAGAGGGAGGAAGGCAAGGTGGCCGGTCAAGAGAAGAAAGAAGACAGGAAAGTCCTGGCATAAGTGAGTCAAAAATGTGTCTAACTTAAATTGAATCCCCAAATTGGGAAGTGGGCCTTAACAATACCATGGGAATACCTGGTCCTGAGTAACTTGCAGATGGGTGCTGACTCAAGCCCTTTGATGGTAGTTATTCCAGGTATCTCTCAACTTTCTCTTCTCCAGGACAAAGTTATCCCAGATTGTTTGCCTTTTCTTTCTAGATCTCATTTCTCAGTTTTGTCATGAGAGGAAGTGAGACCTTTCCTTCAACAAATCCCTCCTCCCCATCTCCCAGATCTCTGCTCTTTCCTGTTCTCTTCAAGTGCACAAGGATAATGATTCAGAGGCATGAGCATTCTGAGCACAGAGATGGAAAAGAGAGTTAGCTGAAAGTGAAAGTAGTCCCTGAAATCAAAATGACCAAATAGAGGCAGCTGTAGTGTGGCTTGATGTGATATAAAGAATGCTGCACCTGAATTCCAAGAGTCCCAATTTTTTTTTTTTTTTGCTTTTTGGTGAGGCAATTGGGGTTAAGTGACTTGCCCAAAGTCACACAGCTAGTAAGTGTTAAGTGTCTGAGGCTGGATTTCAACTCAGGTCCTTCTGACTCCAAGGCCAGAGCTCTATTCACTGCGCCACCTCGCTGCCCCTCACTGTGCCACCTAGAAGCCCCTAAGAGTCCCTGTCTCTGCCAACTGAAAAGTTACATAACTCTAGGTAAATCTCTAAGCTTCATTTTTTCTCCCCTGTAAATTTGGAGTTATAACAATACCTAATTACAGGATTGTTGTGAAGATTAGACACTGCACAAGAAAGGTTTTGCAAACTTTTAAATGTTATCTTACTTGCAACAGTTTAATTTATGAGTCAAAATGTGAACTGTTTACCTTTTTGTTTCTTGTACCTGTATTCTTTCACTCCTCTTCTCCTATGTCTTTCCAGTTTTTTTTTCTCCTTATATGACACTATCAAGTCTCACCTCCTTAGCAGATTGTAAGTTTCTAGAGGGCTGGCACTTTTTCATCTTTGCAGGGAGCACCCTATGCACAGTAGGTGCTTAATGTTTAATTTCACAGTTTCTAGTAAATCACCTCATTTTATAGATGAGGAAATTGAGACCTGAAGTGACTTAAGTCAGTCACACAGGAAAATAGTCGTAGACCCAGGACTAAGTCCCGTTTCCTCACACCCAGTCCGATGGTATTTTTTTCTTTAATGGTTTTTTTCTTCAATTGACAAGAATTTAATCTTTCTCCCACCTCCCCTCCCCATCTCACTCCCATTCCAAATCACTGTCCCCTGCGCCATGCTAGCATGAAGAAGTACTAAATTGTTAATGCTATTCCTCCCCTCATTTCTTTGTATTTACTTCGAATAATTTTGCTGTTATATATGTGTATGTATTGTTTACCTACAGTGAAATTTAAGCTCCTTGAGGGCAGGCATTTTTTCCCATTTGTGTCTTTGTATCACCAGCACCAAGAACTGTGCCTGGCACACAGTAGGATCTTAATTAGTGTTTGTCGAATTTAATTTAATAGG